AACCTCTCATTTTCCATCCTAACGCTAAGTTTTTTGTCTCTGTATAAATTTTTCTTTTAATGTTTTTTTATTTAGAGTGGTTTTTGGATTTTGGAATGGTCGTATTTGAAGTTGTAGGTAGCCAAAGGAAAAAGCTACCCTACAATTCCAACAGGTGACACGTCTGATTCCCAAGATTCTACATGGGGCTTTGGGGTCGATTTTCCGCCACTAAAAATTTCTAAAACAAACACACTGATTGAACCCTAGAGGTTGACCAAGAAAAATATAAAAGGGAATCAACCAAACAAAGCAAAAAAAGTCAAGAACTGACCCCATTGGTCGGTTATATGGCGGCCTAGACCCAATCGCTGGATGTTCCAGGTTTCCTGTTGCAATTGGATTCGTGATAAAATAAGTATTCTAAAGAATCAGTAAGCTGGCTGGCTATCCAGAAAATTTTGCAAATTAAGGGTTTATAACTATTTGTTGCTCAATCAAAATTATGGCCCTATTAGTTGAGATATGATATAAGTGGGTGTATACTATCTGTAATGATATTTTGAGGGAAAAGTCAAAGAAAATTCATACACCATTAAAATCAAACAATCAAATTATAAGGCGATGAACCCACTTGGGTTTCTAACGAAATTTGCTTGGAAGGATCTGTAATCAATAGTTTTGTGCCTTTAGCTAGCCCCAAGTGATGCAATACTATAGACTGTCTCCTACTTAAGAAATAGGGTAAATAATGTATCTTCTAGTTCATAAATTAGGGGCAGTATCTATCAATAATTACATAAACCAAGTGCAAACCCATTCAATAGTTATCAAGAAGAAAAAGAATTACTTTTTGTTTTCGGTGAGGATGAAAGTGACAAGATTCAGCTTTTGTTCAATCCTTTCAAAAAATATGTGAAGTCCATTGAATTAAGTATCATGCTATCAAAATTTTATATACTTAATTAATTTGCTTTATTTTACAAGAAAGAGAATAAGGATATAATCTAAGCTTTTGGGGTGCAATCGAAAGAATAAAAATTGGGAAGCCTACGCCAACTTTTTTGTTATTTTGCTATATGGACTTTTCTTTTCGACAAGCAAAGGAATCCCCTCCGCTCCCCAACCCAAGAAAGGTAAGAAAAGGTCAGAAATGGTTAACATTCATACTATAATGTATTAATGTTTGTATTATTTAGGATAGTATTGACTACTTAGTAGAATAAAGAATTCATTCCATGTATTCCTTCAAGTTCTCCAAGAGCCAATACACTAGACAAGATATGACAAGTGGCTCAGATATAGCTGTTTAAAAAGCTCAAAATGGAATATAATAAACCACTTAGGTACGCTGATTTTCTCACTAAAACAGTCCTATAATAGATGAGAGAGAGTGAAATAGTCCACGTGTAAGGTTATGGTTGGTTGCTAGGCCACTTCTTTATTAAGGAAAAAAAAATAGGGTGGCCCCATGTTTCTATCCGTTGAAAACATGTTATGGCCTTGAATGATAACCTATAGCTTAATCCACGAATGGACGGCACAAACTCTTATAAGTCAAACGATGAGATTATCAAATAATTTAACAGGATCAATTAGAGAGACAGAAATGCTAAGGAGAGGAAGTTACATTACAAATTAATTTAAAAGAAGTATGGGGTCATAATTAGGGTAACCCAAGGTTTCATCATCAACCACGCATCAAAATTTTTGGAACAAACACGATGTCATCTCTGATGTGGCAATCAAACCGACATGCTTATCGTGTTCTTTCTGCATTGTTTGATTGATCATGAGTTAACATGCTAACTCATTTAGATGGTTATTATAAGGACAAATACATTTTAGTTTGCTATGTAATTAAGTTATTAGATTAGATCTCTCTAATAATGTTTCATGATATTGTTTTTGAATATAATGCGACGATAGAGATTAAATTTAATGTTATAGTGGAGAAACCAGATAAGTTTGTTCAGTATCATGATCACTTTGGTGCTTTGGTGTTTTGTTTTTTTGGCTTTTCGGGATGTGTTTTTATCTTTCCGTATTGTTCTTTTGTTGAAAGTTTCGTGGCAGTATGATGAAGTGAAGGAAATCAAAGAAAGCGTTTGGCACCAGGAGTTTAACCCTAGAATTAATTTTCATTTTGAAGACGTAATGCCAACTAAATTATCTTGACACACTATTTTGACTTATTGATGTACATTACTTGCTGGCAAAAATTTGAAATAGGGTGAAAAAATCAAAAGATTATATTATCTTATGCATTCAAAATGAATTTATAAGATTATTACACATTTATTTGTAATTATATTAATTATTTTAATTTTTTTAATTATAATTGAATGGATATAATTTATTTCGCCCTTATATAAAGCAAATTTTCAAAACTAGAACGTGGTATGTTTCAGTTCATTTTAAGTTCTTTAAATAGGGCCATGCCGTCGAGTTTAGACTTCGAGAGGCTAGAGTCTATAGGTTTGTAAAGGGGTGAAGCATATTATATGAATGTTCATTTACTTATACAATCTGTAACTTGTAAGTATCTTGGAAGATGGTCTTTATAAACTACCCAAGGTTTAGTTGCACAGGACGCTTGGTATCAAGAAAAGAAAAAGGAACAATTAAAAAATCAAATGTTGATTCCAGGAACCTTGTCAGCTTCTAGAATGGGATATTTTAATTATTCAATTATAAAAATGATACCAATAGAAGATACTGCTCAAGGTAACACCTCCAATTGAGGAAGTCGACAACTGGGGGAAGTGACAATAACTGGAGGGTCGAACACAACAACAGTTTCTGCATAATTAAGCGTGATCCCATGTGTTGGGAATGAACTGGTTTTACCTTTTGGGATAGTCAGATCCATTTTTGCTTTGCTATATTCTTTAATTATATTATCTTAGATGATAAAGGTGATCACATTGTGTTAAAATCATGCTTAATTAATTTCTTTTTAATGAATAAAACCCATATATTGACGGTTGAGAATGTGAAAAGTAGGCTAAGTTGCTTACAAAAGTGGGACTGGAAACAGAGAAAGTGGAATGCATGACCCTAGCTGGAGAAAATCTTTTCCAAACCTTCCCCCACTATCAACAGGTGGCTTTCATTTAATCAAAGAAAAAAAAAGGTAAACAGGGAAGAAATGGAAAACAGAAATAGCAACAACTCTTGGAAAAAAATGTGATAAACGTGATAAGAGTTGAAGGGATGACTTAAATTTTTCTTTCCTTTGCTAGAGTTTTCACTTCACAGCCATGAATTAATGGGGTTACATTAGTTAAAGGTAACAAAAAAAAAAGAGAAAAAGAGTCTCGAGTTTTCGCTTCACGGGCATGAATGGGCTGGGATGGGATGTGAATGAAAAATGAAATGAGAAAAAGTCTCGAGTTTTCGCTTCACATTGCAAGTTGGGAAACAGTGATGATCAAAGGAATATGAAAGACCTCAAAAAACTCTCGAGTTTTCGCTTCACAGTGCAAGCTGGGAAACAGTGATGATCAAAGGAAAATGAAAGATCTCAAAAAAACTCTCAGAGTTTTCGCTTCACAAATATAATACTGCATTCAGGTAAGGCCTTTGAAGAGATATGAAAGGAAAAGAAACAAAATTAATGCAAACAATAAAAAAGGCTGTCGATTTTAACTTGACATGCACGTATACGTGGGATAGCGAAGAAAGATAATGAACGATCAAAAGAGGTGAAACACTCGAGTTTTCGCTTCACCAGGAAAGGAAATTGCAAATTATTTTAGGTTGAATTTGAATTAATTTATGAAGTTGAGAATTTCCATGCGTAAGACTTGAACGAATTTGTTGCACAAATGGGATTTTTTTAGCTTATTAGTTTGGACGAGTTTATGAAATTGAAAATGTCAAGAAAAGGAGAAGCTAGCTAGACAGCTTTTGTGATCTAATGGCATGACGTGTGATCTTGTGATGTGCAAAAGCGAAAACTTGTCCAACTAGTAGATGGGAAGGGACTAATGGGCGTTTAACATGGGCCAAGATATTCCATCTTTGTGACTTGTAGTATCCATGATTCGATTTGGGTCCAAGTGTCCTACAGCAAATGACACTTCCCATAATATTTGGGCCTAGAAAAGTTTGGAAAGGCTTCCTACACTTTCATGGGAAAACTATGGGCCCTCCTAAGTTGTGTTTACGATGTTTGTTCTTTGATAGGGGCTTCAGCTTAACAAAATTGAATACAAGGCCCAAACCAAGAACGTTCAGCTGACGAGCCTGGGAGAGTTGGAGGGGGAATTTAGTACACGATGACTTGTGAAATGTGTAATGCGATCGTGAAAGCTATTTTTCTTTACGTATTTTGCTGCTTCCAGCCATAATGGTTTAGCCTAATATGAAATCCGAATCATAATTTGATTTGAAACTTGAATCTTTTAGTTCCACAGTATATATCAAACTGTTGATCCACATGGTGAGAAGCACCGGATTACTCTCACGGAGCTGGTCTGAGTTCACACTCACGCTTGGTTTGTTTCTTTTTTTCCCTAATAAAAGTCATTTGGGAAAGGTGAACGATATTTTATTCGCAAAGGGATATTTGTCCACCCACTTCTTTCTGAAATAATGATTTCATGAGCTGCAACTTGCATTAAACATCAACATTTTTTTTTTTGAAAGAAATCAAAGAATCTTGTCACGGATGCAACAGAAAGTCATATTAATTCGTAAAATTCTTTTAGTTTGTTGTCTTCACGGGTTGCTTAAATGCATATTGGATAACACACTTGGTGTCTGATGCTTTAAGTCATACTGTTTAATAATCATAGTGGTTGATGATTGTGACATGTTTCTTCACAAGATAAAACGCATCAAATACTGTAATATGTGTTAATCTTTAATGTTTGTTAAAGAGTTTCATGGGTACGTACTTGCATCTATAGTTATCTGATATATATAGTTACAACCCATAATCAAAAAATTATTAGTTAGAAGAAGCATTAATTCATTGATAGTAAAATTAAGACTGCTAGAATTAATGTCATAGATATCTCTGCATGTATGACAGTTTCAAAGAGTCACCTTGAATTACAAAGAGAAATATAATCTCAGAGTAAAAGTTATTTGAACAATCCTAGAATTAGGAAAAAGAGAAAGTTACAGGGACCAAAAAGAAAAACCAAAGCCAAAAAACACAACATTGCAGCAGAGTTACTGCAAATTAAGTAGAAAATGCTTAAGCACAAATGAAGTCAGATGGTAGCTGCTTCCCACAAGTGTTGATGAGCAAGCTCAACGAAATGGGAATGTTAATGTTAATGCCAAGAACGTTAGCTTTAATGGCTGTGCAAAGGCACACAGCCGCTTCGAGATCGACAAGCCCTGATAGCACCGAGCAGCAGGGAGTGTCTGGAGGGTTTCCGACCACTCCACCGATTGTTCCATTCAGCAACTTGGCACAAACCCCTAGCTTAAGAGCATCTCTAGGGCATTGTTTCGTGGGAGGAGGAGGAGTTGGTCTAGGGTTTGGGTTCGGTCTAGGCTGAACACAAGTGTTGCACCCACTTACAAGGGTGAAGAAGAGAAGGTTGATAGAGAGAAGGAGAATGGTTGATGAACATCTTTTGGAATCCATCTCAGGAAAAACTCTTCAAAGTCTGAACAGTTCTACTTATCCTAAGTTTAACTTCTCTTGTGATGAAGAAACAGGCAATGCGGGTTTATATAGTGTACCAACTGAAGTGTGTTGCTTGAATAATTGGCAAAGACAAAACACTAGGCATGTGAACTAGCAAGGCTGGCTAGAGTTTAGCTGACGTCGGTGATGCAATAGATTCAGAATCAAAAAGCACGAGGATCTATATTATATTTCAATTTACAGTTGTTGATTCTTTGGATCATAAGATTGACCAATCTGGTTTGACTTGTTAATCCAATCCCCGTGAATAACACCCATCTGGCATTTCTGTTTTGTGGTACTATTATATATCTGTCTGGGACGGGGATACCGTGTTCTCAATCAATCAAGCTACATCACGTTAATTTCATGATGTGGATCTCTTTTCAGGAGCATTAGCATCTAATGCATGTATTGTCCTTAGCAATAATGTTGTTCTATATCCGGAAATAATTTTAGGAATGAATCACGTTTGTTTTATCCTAGCTGTTATTTTGGGAAATCTGGGAAAATTATATTGAACCCAAATTCACTACCCTTCGGTTTCAGCTTTTGAAGAAAGTCCAGAAAAAGCAGTGATGGTACAATTATCAGCCCAAGTAGATACATTCCCAACCGGCACTTACACCATAGACCTCGAAACGATTCCTTCGAGCACTATACACCATAACAAGATATTACAGCAAAAACCCTTTGTTTTTTTGAAAGCTGAATTTAGTTTACCATACAACCGATATGTCAATATTAATCTCAAGCTGTAGCTGTCAGAGACTCCCATCGGCATGAAACGCCGGCTTAGCAAAGAAACGATAAAAAAAGCTCTACTGCTCAAGGGGTTTTAAGCGGAAGACAAGGAGGAGGAGAATCATAACCTGCCCATACAGAAAAGCTGAAAGCAAGAGACGAGAGTCCAGCAAACTTAAAACAAGCCTCCTAAAGATTATCAATCTATACATCAGAAACAAAAGCCGAAGGCTACAGATAAAAAGAAACCAGAAACCCAAAAATCAAGGCCCTGGAAAGCCCCAGCTCACCCGAAGACCTTAATTTGCTGCCTCTGAAAGGGCAGCATAAAGATTTCAGCAATCTATCCCGTTCAAGTGATATGAATTACAAGTAGTTGAATGAATTCATGAATATTGAGGTGGCAAATTTAACATAGTTATAGATTTTAATGAGCTTTCCATTAATGAAATGGAAATTAAAGGATCTGAAATTGAATGCAATATCCTGAACTGAACTAAACTTCAATAGATCAGGCCCACGTAGGTCCGGCCCATGAAATTCTCTAATTATCACAGCATACTTTGTAAGCATCACAAACAGTCTCCTTTCTAAATTCATATGGCTAATTAATCCAACAAATACATACGTTCTATGTGAATCTGAGAAGCCAATGACACTAGGTCAGGTGAATGTGATTGTCAATGGACAAAGACATTGGCTTTGCGCAACTTACCAAACCTTTTACTTAGGCAAGAATATTCCCTTCCATATACACATTCTGTACATTTTGTAAAGAACTCAAAAACTTTTTTAAGCTATAATATTTTCTGAGATGTAAAAGCTGATGGTGGAGGCTTTCTTTCTAATCAACCGCCCTTCAGCGTGTGACTGATGGAACACATCAGTTTGTTTGCATTCATTTAAAGCTGATCATTTTGTTTGTTGCACTTCATTTATCTGTGGATCCTGAAATGATTTTCCCACCCAACACTCTCATCAACCATTTGGCAAAGTAACTTTATTAATTAGATAAGCAGCTAGCCACGCCAATCCTTGCACGAAGCTATGTAAACAGAGAATTGAAAAGTAAGAAGATAAATTATTAACGGCTGTATATTATTGGCAATGATTTTCTTTTATAGGATGAAGTTACCAGCAGTTGATCCATAAACCTGCTAGTGTAAAATGGTTTATTAGTCTTAAATCTTTCTACAGTTAAGGGAACCCCACCCAAGCTTTGGATTAAGATTTTGCAATATAATATTGCTTGCCTCTGCTACTAGCACCAATTAAGCGTTTTACGTGTAAATTTCGAACAAGATTAATTATATGCTTGATTAATATAATATTAATTGTTAATCTCCAAAATATATATAAGATTAATTGTTTGCCTTCGTATTTTTCAAACTCAGGCATGGACTTAATTCCCTTCAATTCCAGCAAACTAGGATGCATTGGGGCGGCCACAGTGATAGCATTATGATTTGACATTAGCTTAGCTGTATCATTTACCTTCGTTTTCTGGAGAATGAGTAACTTCGAAACTGGCATGGTTTGAAAATGGAAACAAGATGAACTTGAATCAAATTAAGCTCTCTTTCACGATCATGAATAGCCATCGCGTTCACCCAAAATACTTACCAGGTGCGACATATCCTAAATTTGTTTGTGTTATCATGGAATTTGGTCCAAGTTTTTGTTTTAATAACTGAAATATCAGTCGATTTGGTTTTTGTTTTTTTCTTAAATAGAATTTGGTCCAGATTGCTTTTGTTTTCTTTTCTTTTTAGGGCAGGGGAGTAAGTGCAAAATCTTTTACCGGATGCTAGTCATGATCGGAAGAACAGAGGAAAATCAGGTGGTTCTTGATTAAGCTTAAAACCGGCTAAATTGTTAGCTCTCTTAATCATGCTTCATTACAATGAATGAGTTTTCCATTTACTTTAGTTTAGGAAATTAAATATTTACAAATGCCTGCACATACTAGTTAAGTATGGTGATATTTTTAAAATTATTTTTTAAAAAACAGAACCAATACTTGTTAATACACTTACCTCTTTCATTTTTTTAATGTGATCCCTTTCTATTCATAAGGAGTTCTTAAGAATATAAATCTTTTAACTCATATGGTACTCCATTTAGTGTTCATTTCATAATTCTGTGTTACATGTTCAGTAAATTTTTCATATTAAGATTTAAGATTTATAAATTAGAATTTTTAGTTAATAATATAAAATTGGATATGTGAAGTAAAATTATAGAAACAGACATCAAATGAAATATCAACTAGAAGCAGAAAATTTCTATCCGAGTTGTTAACGAGGAGATATCGAAATTTTTTAATAACTATGTATATGCATTAATTTACTGATTAAAGTTACCCTGTTTTCCATATAAAGATATGAATTTTAGACCTCAATTCTTCTTAAGAGTCCTCGCAGCCATTTGGTTCCCTTTCCATTACATGCTTATACAAGTTATTCATAGGCAATTATAACAATCATCTATACTCTGTTGTTGCTCATCTGTTTTCATCATTTAATAGTTGGAGAATATTTCAGCAATAAGTAATATTTTTTTCTATATTTACATTAACTTGTTTGAACATGAGATCCCAAGGAATATTTAGTTTCAGAATTAGCTAATAATATTGGGAAAGCATATTCTCCATGACAGTTACAAAGCTGCAGTGAAAAACTATTCCTTTTGTCTTGCAATCGATTGCTTGGATCTTCTCATATACTGAATCACATCTGTCAACTGGAATAAAGGTAAAGATTGTCCCTCAAGTTTACCAGGAAGATGTCAATACGGATAACTTCAAAACTTTCAATGCATTACAGATAGTGACAATGTTGTCGACCTCTGGAAAACAGGGGAAGCTATTTTTTTTTTGTTTTTCAATGAGTTTGAGTTCATTGCTCAACACGCGGTCGCTAGAAAATAAATTAGCCCCTTGTTTGGAACATATCTTAAGTTGGAAGATGTAATGTTGACTTAATCAAGTGTCAGTAGTTTCTGTAGTAGAAAGAAAAAGATGGCACCACAAAGTGTGAATGGACGGAAAAAAAAAATCAGGTCTTGACAATCATCTACATTGATTTTTTCTTTCCTTTCAGTCGAGGGCACAGTTCCAAATGAATCTCCAGTGGAGCCCATGGTGGGTTCTAGGCTCGCCCGTGACTCTCCAATCCAGCTAGAAAACTTCCATTGACAACATGCCAAGATGGAAGACTCTGCATCTGCATGGCAGAAAACATAGGAACAAAAGACTTCCTTAGTGTAAATATCAATAAGCTCAGAGTAGTATAGAGGAAAATAAAGGATTGACTATAACAGAATCAAAATCAAGCATCTCTTTTTGCATTAAATGTTGCTTTGTGATGTTTCAAGATTTATACCAGAGATGTATATATATTGAAAGGATCCTAAATGAGTTTATCATTCTTTGATGTTGGATTGGATTCTTACTTTAACGTCTATAAGGATCTTGAAAATCAAGTGTAATGTTAATCAACTTTCAACAAACCTTAGAAGAGAAGGAAAAAAAGAAAAGATATAGCTCTGACTGTTGCATTACAAGCCATGGCAGGGTACAGTTAAGATTGGCATATAGCGCAATTAAAACAAAACAAAAGTAGCCGAGGAAAAACATGAAGGTGTGACAAGCTAGCATTCAATAAAATGATGTAATCCTGCATCCCTTTTGTCGACCTCAGCAGTTAGCGGTTGTAACTATCCTGGTTTGGAAGAGCATGGAACAGAGAAGATAACGTGTAAAAATCAAAGCAAACCAAGAAAATATTTAATCATATATCATTGCTTAGAAGACGAGGAAAATAACCCAGTGTTTGTAGAATCAATTTTATCAGTTTTGTTCAAGAAATTGAATTATGCTATTTGCTAGGATGCATGGAATGCAAACATCCTAATCTTGCTAATGCCTTTGATTGTTACTTAAGATCAAAAGCTGTTGCAAACCATATAATTTATGCTAGATAGATCCACAGATTGATATTAGGGGCAGTGGTAACATGGCAATTTGTTAATCTCCACCTCACGATCACAAACATCCAAAGTTCAGCAAAAATCTTCTGCCTTTGCCAGCTCAAATCGCAAAAATTAAATAGAATCATTGTACAAATTAATTAATAAAATTGTTTTAAGCTAACGTCAAAAACAATGCACTTGTCCACTTGAAACCCTATAAAACCCCCTTTCTTCACTCCAATTTCTCCATCCCCACACACTGCTCTCTCCTATTACTTCTACTTACCCCCTCTAAGCAAGAGAAGCAAATAAGGTTTGAGAGATGGCTTCAAAAAGAACAGCATCACTTGCTCTCTTTTTTGCACTTAACATCCTCTTCTTTTCCCTAGTCAGTGCTTGTGGTTACTGCCCTTCCCCCATCCCAAGACCAAAGCCCACTCCCTCTCCGTCTCCATCTGGAGGAGGCAAGTGCCCCAGGGATGCCCTTAAATTAGGTGTATGTGCTGATCTGCTTGGTGGTTTGCTCAATGTCACCCTCGGTAAACCTCCCGTGCAGCCATGCTGCTCCTTAATCCAGGGCCTTGCTGATCTTGAGGCCGCCGTTTGCCTTTGCACAGCTATCAAAGCTAACATTTTGGGCATCAACCTTAACATCCCAATTTCCCTCAGCTTGCTTCTCAACGTCTGCTCAAAGAATGTTCCTTCTGGCTTCCAATGCTCCTGATCACTACTAGTTTTTCTAAATTTTTTCTCTTCAATTCTGGTGTTGCATTTGGCTTGAAGTTCTAATGTCCATTATGTGATGAGTGTTTTGCATGTTGTAATTGGTAACTGGTTGTTTCCCTTTGTTGTAGTGTTGTTTGGTATTGTGGATTGATTCTGAATAATTGTAATAGTTTTCTTCAGGTGTTTTCTTTGGCTTTATGTATCTTTAAGGGAAATAAAAGATTAGTATTATTCAGCTTGTTTTTTTGAATAAACCAAAGATGATTCCATCTATTGAGAGTGGAAGCAAGTCAGATTTCTCATTCTCATGCTATAGTTTTCAATCCCGTGACCTTAAATCTCTTTACTTGTCAAATCATGTTTTCTCTTGTTAATCTTGTCGCGCTTAATTACATCTACAAGTGGAAAATCACCTGGTCTGGTCTCTCCTCACTTCTCATCGTACTGCACGCCCTACGATAATAGTAAGCCCTGTGTAAGCTAACCCAGCTTGTTAATTTTGTCAATCAATATGATTTCATGCTTCTCATGGCCACGATTCTATATTCCAAAAATAGCTACAAACTGTTTTCCCTACGTATATTTCTAAAATGAAATAGTTAAAAAGTGGGTTATAGATAATTGGAATGTGGCACATTTAATCCATAGACTATAAGAACTCTGAAATTCACAGATGAGATATCAAAATCTTGTAATTAATCATAGCTGCAGTATGGAAAAAAGTAAGTTCTAGTAAACAAAAAGAAAGGAAAACTTGGTGGCATATCAATGCTGATTCTGATTTTCTAGACTTTTGACAACAACCGGCTAGCATGTTAAGAGGGCCCAGCATGAGGAAATAAAGGTCCGGTTACCACAAGATGTCTCCATCATTCTTACATTTTTCATGTCGTTTATTCCTTGGAGTAGCAGAGAGAAAGTAGAGATATCATAGTCAGACTTTTTTTAGATGACCACACGGTGGTTTAATTAACCAAGTTCAGTCGTGGCCCCATGGCGCAAGTTTTTGAAGTCAATAGCAACCACCGGCACTGAAAGCACAGTTTTGAGTCCGTGACTAAGAATTTGGTGAAGGAAGATGTATGCATTCTCACATGAAAAAAAAAAAGGGGGGGGTGAAGAGGAAGAGAATAGCAAGCTCATTTTACTTCACACTCCTCACTGCAGAAAAAGGCAAAGATTCCTTGGCCTTACTGTTCGATTTCCACTAACCGCAATATCCTGAGAATTCAAAAATCTCAATGATGGTGATCCTCTGAACGTTTTGAATACTCCTTTAATGCAACACACTTGAATTAAGTGAATTATGATATGAAAAGAAATATATCTGGTTTGGGTTTGAACGCCTCCTTTAGAGAATTCATGACATCAATGATGCTGATCCTCTGAACGTGTTGAATACTTCTTTAATGCAGCACACTTGGATTAAAGTGAATTGTGATATGAAAAGAAATATATCTGGTTTGGGTCTGAATTCATCCTTTAGAGAATTCAATCTCCCTTTTCCTTTTCATTTTATGGTCCTATAAAATGCTTGTATATCCGTTGGAAAATTTAACAGGGTGAAACCTAATAGATAAAGTTAATTATAAGGAGGAGTTCAATCTCCTTTTATTTTTGGTTTTTGGTTGGGGTGAGTTATTTTGGGCCAGGGTTTTTATTTTTTTATTTATTTTTGGGCTACATATGTTAAATAAATAAAAATTTATTCAAATCAAATTGATATTTATTAAAAGGAATGAACGAGAACGACAATTGGAGTTTGGAGATCCATAGGAATTTTGGAAAATCAATTATGATTCTTGTCTGCCAAGAATAAGACCAAACCTGTGTTCACTATCATTACTACTTCTAATTTCTTACATAAAGATTCCTTTAAAAAAAACCAGCCCCTCCCACCCCACGCAAGGGGGAGGTAAATAGGGAATTGCCCTCCACTTCTTTACAACCATCAAATCTTTGATAATTAAAACGGGATTAATTCCATCCAAGATCTTTAACACAATTAGAAAAAGATTAATTAAGGAAAAGATTTAATAGTTTCGATCCAGCTCTTCCACCGGCTAATTTTGTAACGTAACCAAGAATTTATAAAACAACGCCAGCTGAAATTGGACGGTTCCTCTTAAGCACCCAATTCAAACCCGTGAACCATTCTTGTCACCTGTAACCTCAGATCACAAACCATCATACCCAATAATTACGATTTTATAGTTTCCCCCGTACATGGGATGAACATATATTCCGATTATAATTAAATTGCGAGCATGAAATTTTCTGATCTGGAATGGTTCCTTTTGCCATGTGATATTGGCTGACTGTGACGTAGATCTTAAGTCTTGCTGAGCTGCATCTCCAACTCAACCTCTTTTGTACTTAAGGTTTAGAGGAGAGCTTTGGTGCAGTGAAAAAATTTAATTAATTAGTTAATGATAAAGTCAAGCTATTTCGTCTTCTCTCCAAGGACAACGACTTGCACAATGGAAGGAATATATATTTATTCATGTTTTCATAAGATTCTATACTTTAGGTAATGGATTGCTAACTACTGATCTTATGATAATAATGACATTTTGAGCATCTGAAAAACAAGGGAAAAGAAAGTGGAAAGAAGAAGGAAATGAAAGCGTTATCTGCTTTATTGTCGCCTTTAACTTCAATTATGAGAAGAGAGTCTTCCGGAAAGAGTTTTTCTGTCCATAAATAATTGAAGAATGTAGTAGTAGTTTGAGACTTTGGGCTATCCACTTACAATTATCTAGCATCATGTCTAACGTCATTTATTACTATAATCTAGAAAAGTTTGCTTGTAATTAGCGTTAATTAAGTATACAAAATGTATTACGGTACTATTACTTCATTTTAATTGTTTTAATATAATTATGGGACATAATTCATATCCAGAAAAACCTCCATAAACTAGTCTTTGTGTATGTGAAAGCACGCGTATAGAATATGTAGGCACATGCTGAGAAAGATTAAAATTCAAGCAAGCGCTAACAGTCAATAATGAAAGACTAAGGGACACTTGAAATGCAACTCCGTTCTAACCCGAAAGAAAGAAAGAAAAACAGACTCCAATCAATGCAAAATACAACAATAGTCAAACCCTAGCAGAAAACAAAGTTCTTGAAACCTAAAAATGGAAAGTACACTTTTTGGGATCAGTTTTTATCTTTTTTTGGGGGGTAGTTAAGAGGCAGTTAACATGGGAGACCGAGGTGGCAACCCTGACTACAGGCTGAGCTCTATCTTGTACGTCCATAGGAAGTATGGTCGCCTTGTTATTAATGAAAGTCCACTTAAAGAGGAGGACAAACGAAGCCAGGAGGAGGGTTCTTCCCACAAGTTATTAGAGCTTGAAGAGCAAGGGGAATGAATATATTAAGGTTTAGAAGCTTAATCCTTATAGCAGTGCAAAGACAAACTGCTGCTTCAAGCTCTAGTAGACCTCCTAGCACCGGGCAGCAAGCATTCTCAACAGGGTTTCCTAACCCAATATGCACCAATCCTCCAAGCACATCCACGCACAGCCCTAGCTTAAGTGCATTAACTGGGCAAGTTGGTTGAGTAGTTGGTGGAGCAGGAGAGCTACCCCCACCTCCACCTCCACCTCCACCTCCACCACCGCCTCCACCTCCACCGCCTCCAGAAGGTGGGCCTCCACTGTAAGGTGGGTAAGGAGAAGACGGTGGTGGGATTGTAACAGGAGGGTTGGTAATGGGAGGTGATATCACGGGAGGATTCGTTATTGGTGGGTTAATGATAATCGGTGGTACAATAACTGGTGGCATTGGCGGCTTTTTGGATGGTGGCTCTACTTTTGGGGAGCCTCCATGGTGGGGCGGGTGCTTGGTGCTTGGCGGAATCGGGCGGGGAACTTTAGGGTGAGTTGGGCGGGTTGGGCGGTGGTATGGGGGTGGGTGTGGCTGTGTACAAGGAACACAAGCATAAATTGGTGGCAATGATATTAACATGAAAATCAGGAAGATGAAAAACATGGCTGTAAACTGTGAACCCATGACTTAGGGTTCCAAAGATTCTTCCCCTTGAGCTTAGATAGGGTTGATCATGGAAATTATATATAGCTGAATTTTATGTGTAACCCGTGACTGTGCCTACGAGTATCAAAACCCCTATTCCCCTTAAAACGTGAAAAAGAAAAAAAAAAGGTGGAGGATTCCAAGAGATCTAAAATTGTGAAATAAATTGAAGATTTTGGAGTGTTGTAGGTTGATTGCAAACTTCAATGTCCTATCCTTGACTGTTGCGCTCAGTTTCAATCCGTGAGTTGTGTTTGATTTCTGAGCAAGCTCTGTTTCACAGATTTCTATGGCGTACTATTTGTTTGTTTCCTGTACTACTTTCTTAACCTTCTTCGTCTTCTTTTCTTCTTTTTGCAAACCCCTTTACGCTCTAGCCTTTGCAATTTTGGGATGATTAACTTTTATATATGCATTTTCTCTCAACATGTATCAATAATGGTCCTGCATGATCTTTCCAACTGAATTTTTACAGCTGGAGAAGCATGAGGGCTCATTCATTACGCATCCTTGCTCTCTTATTATTTCTGCTGGCTTGTAGTAAGGTGGTAGATGGCAGTTGCCTGAGTCAGAGCAGATAGACGTTAGGGTTTGCAGGGCTGTGTCCGTGTATTATTTTCTGCTCCTTTCACCATGTGAACATGTGAACTTACTGTTTTCTTCTTGTTCCTTTACTTCTGTTTCCCAAATTTTTTATTCAGAGAAGAAATATAATGTGTAAAATTTAAAGGCAATCATTTCCTGAGGAAAACCCAATGATATGCGCTCCAATTAAAACATTAATTTACCCGGGTCTTGCCTAAAGCGCTGTTAGTGATAACTATTTAAAGCATATTTTCTCTCACTGCATTGAAAATGTAATATGTTAGAATATGATTTTTTTTAACGATTAGCATATGAGTTGAAATTTTAATTTATAAAACTAGGGTTGAAATTTATTGGATAAGAAAAAGGATAAATTTATAAATTTATTGGAAATTTATAATGTCCAAGTTGAGTGGAAATTTACATTGTTAACAATGATGTACATATGGGTACGGGTTAAGATTCTATATAATTTTAAAAGGCTTTTTTCATTCAAAAAATGTACACTATTCTCAGAAATTGAAGAAAAATAATGAATTGATTATAAAATTCAAATATCTCTATTTTCCTATTCCAAAAACCACTTTAACACGTGTTCCGAGAACTCTAGTCAGCGTGCGCCTCAAGTATTCTTTTTAATATGATTATATATACATATATATATATATATATATATATGTCTCAGCTCAAAACATAAGGTTACACAATTAAAACTCGTGTATAGATCCAAAATAATGTTAAAATTGGAAGTAGTAAAAATTTCATGGTGACCTATATAAAAAAATGGGGGATTAGTTCATGGTTCGTGTAATGTTTTTTTTTTCAACAGTGCTCATAAGAGAGGAAGAATTAAGTTTTGATAGAAAAAACAAATACTACAATAAATAAATATAAATTGAGACACAATCCGTTTGTCTATTTTGAACGTCTAAAAAAATTGAAGAGTTAATAATATAACGATCATGAGCTAGTCTTCCGGTGCTTAATTAATTAAAAAGAGTTTATTTATTTATTTCCAATTTCCTTTAAAATTATCAGAAACAAATTTTAGTTTATTTTGTCAAAGATTGAATTTGATATTTCAGATTTATTTAATACTGAACATATGATTTTTATCTAACTTTGGTTTCACCTTTATGATTGTGGCAAATCCAGGAGACTAGAGTTATTCAAATTCAGCTCTAGCCGATGCAAAAACATGAACATCTCGACGAGCTAGACAAAAAATATATATGGCTTACAGAGAACAATAATAGAGAGGCTTAGTGTCAAGAGTAAATTGGGGACAAAGTATTTGAACTCAATTCCGCATGTTGCAAATCCAATATCGCAAGAGAGGCTTAGTTCTTTCTTTGCTTCACTGGGAATTCAGTGACTCACAGCTAGCTGAACCCACGGTTTTGGGCCCCGGTAATGAGGTTGGGACCGGACCATATGACTCCAAAACAGCACAGGTCTCTGGTTACGCCTTTGTACTTTACTTTCAGCTTTACTTCTTTTTTAAGTTTTTCGGATACGCCAAAAAGGGTAAATAGGATTGAATTTCAACCACAAGTATAATGCAACGATGTTGCCTGATATTTTAGCTTCGAGATGTGCATTAAGATTCAGGACTTTTCAAAAGGCTCATAATGGAATGCCAAAGGTGCATGTGCCGCCAATGGATTGTAAGAAAAAGATTTTCCAATCACAATTATAGCGAAATGGACGGCAAAAAAAAAAAAAGAACAAATTAATTATCATTGGCTTAATTAGCTTTCGGAGATGAATATACTTGCTCTTTAACCAACTCTCTAAGTTGAATTATTACCAAGTTAGTTTTTACCAGTTAGTATAAATGTTGGACTAGTAGTGTCTTGTGGACCAAACGTGCATGAACTCATCTTAATTGTCCTTTCTATTAGTTCAAGCTTCCCGCGCATGCGCGGCAACTTGTCTTCCTCGAACGCTGAATTGATTCTCTGAATGCAGCATCGTCATCGATTTTATGGTTTTTTCTGTTAGTCTATGCTCAAGGCCAGGTCAACTTGGATATTGATATGACACGGTTTTCCCATTTTTCTCTCCTTGTACAAGTTGCTGGAGGATCTCGTCGGCAAAGTAAAACGCCACATCTCCAAACAGGAGCACTTTTGTCTCTTCTCATTGCGTTCTACTAGCGACAACTCGTTCTTCCCAGTCACCACCATCGCGCGCAAAATTACGTCTTTCAGCTTTGAATTTTCGGACGAATTTTTTATTATGAATATGAAGCAATTATGTGCTTTATACTTGGTTTCTTTGTTACGACCCCGGCCCGTAGTCGTAGATATCGGTTTGGACCGAAGATTCTGTGGACCCCACTCGGCTTCAACTAGGCTTGACAAAAATGGGACAATAATTGAAGGGTAATGTGGACCAAAAACAGGCATTCAACTTCTGGGAAAATATAATTATAAAATAGCCAACAAAGGCTGATATCGGTAGAAATATGTTCCATATGTCATGTCATTTATACGTATTATTAAATTGATAATTGTAATGTTAATTAAAAATAATTAATAATTAATAATAAAAATGTATTTGATTTCAAATAAAAAAAATTAATTGAAAGTAATAAAAAATAAGAATCAAAATTAACTTTTCTTATATAGTTAAAAAAAAAAAATTGGATATAATTAACAGACGAAGGCGACACTAAAATTAATCCTTGTGCTGTCACTATCCTGAATTGCAAGTTGATAGCTGTTGGCGCCATGCTGCTAATGCTATGTGTAATGTCCGTAATATTGAGGGAACTCAAACAATGATTAATCTCTATGATCAATTGCGTGCTCGAAGCTTGTACCCTAGTGTTAATTTTTTTTTTTATCTAACGCCAACAGATCTTCGGAAAATGTCCGGAGGAAGCTTTTTGTTATCTGATATCTTCTTAATTTTCCACTGATGAGTAATTAATTTGTTAGGAAGGAGGGCTAACTAGCTGGGTTAAAACTCAGAAGCTTTTGCCTATTAGAAGGCTGCAATGTAGTGAAAAGTAAAAGTAGCAGCGCATCTCACAAGAGAGTTCAGTTCATATAGGTTAATTTATTTCTTGTCGAGCTTTTCTTTACGAGCCAAAATTCTCAGTCCAAACTCTCGTAATTAATCAACACATGTCATGGCAATGGTTCAGAGGTGGCGCTGGACAAAACAAATTTTTCCAATAGTCGTGGAAAAGGGATCTTGGAGGAAAACGGAAATAGAGAAAGCAACATTCCTGAGCTTTGCGATCGTATATAATGCGGTTTCTTTGGGTAAATTTCTCATTTTATTAGAGAGAATGATATGATACGTGCATTCTTGTTTCACTACAATAAGGTACATATTAAGGACTAGAAGGTGAGAAGCCTGCCTTCCTTAAAATAAATATAGTAGTAACACTTAGTGAATGAGTACACCCCATAAACATACTACCAAAAGTCCAAACACACCGTGAAAAGATTATAAAAATGACCAAACATTACTAAAAGTACAAAGAGACTGATTAAAAGTAAGCAGAAGGAGTTTAAGCGCACTGGTAGCCAGCAGGGATCTTCTTTCCACAGTAATTGAGCAGCAAGGACAATGAAACGGGGATATTAAGGTTAGCGCCCAAGACGTTGGCCTTGATGGCAGTGCAGAGGCAAACAGCAGCTTCAGCATCAGCCAAACCCGCAAGGAGAGAGCAGCATGGGGTCTTTGCTGGGTTACCAACAACAGCCTGCACCAAATTCAACAAGTCAGCACAAACACCCAGTTTTAGAGCATCCTTAGGGCAAGAGGCGGGCTTGGGCGAGGGTGGGGTCTTGTGAGGAGGCTTGGGGCTCTTAGGTGTTGGTGGGCAAGGCACATTGGTGGAGCTGACCAAAGTGAAGAAGAGAATGTTGAGGGAGAGAAGAAGGGCAGTTGATGCTACTGTCTTTGGAGCCATATCTAAGAGACACTAAGTGCTTAAATGCTAATTATATATGGTTTTTGGTATAGACAGTAAACTCTGTTCTATAGAGAATGTAAGTGATGAAAAAGGTTACGCAGGCTGAGGTTTTTTATTGGAGGAGGTAGCCAGGGGATTTGAAAGGAAGTACTGTTTACGTTCAAACATTGTGGTTGAAAGCCATGTGGGCACGTTGGGTTGGAATATAGGGGATGCAACCTAGCTGCGAGCACAACATGCAGGGATAAGCCTCAAACACTGTTGCAATATAGATTTGCCTGCAATTTAAGTTGTCATTTATTCTCCTTTACTAATATGATAAAGATAGAAAGAAAGATATCTCATTGCTATAAATTCAAAATATTCTTGTTTTCATATGGTTGTAAGAGAATAATTTGTGCACAAGAGGTATGGACAATAACAATAGGAAGAGTTTTGGGATGGATCGAGCTGAAGGATTGTAGTTTGTTCATGCATTATTTTTACTTTGTTTCTTTAGGGTGAAACAGATGAATAGATTGATTTATAGTAATATTCCTATAATAGATAAAACTAAGGTCAAAATGATCTCTTATAGATCACATAGATTTCAGTTACAATTTTGTCATTACATGAATATGAAGAAGTGATAGATGCAGATTATTATAGTAATTGAGAGGCGTATAGAGTTTAATAATCATAATAATCATCTAGATTAAAAAAATATTATACTTAAGTTGACAAGCTTGAAGCTTCTATGAGCATGTAAGTATTAGTGCTAGTAATCACGTGTGGTTTCCACCAAATAATTGGCAGCTATTGACTCACAGCCACCGCAGAGAAGATCTCGTGACTGAGATTTCTGGCTATACACCAATGCCATTGTAATTTTAATGTTCATCACCGTATAGAGCTTCCTAATTATATCTAGCCAATTATGACCATCAGAGTTTAACAAAGGTAAGAGAAATAATTGTGCAACCAAGAATGAATAGGACAGGTTCAAATCGATCGCCAGACATGTGAATGCTGATGAGGTTGTTCTGTCTCCTAGCTTTCAAGTGAACTGGAAAACTGGACCGGTGGGGGTGGGTATTTGCAGATTTAGGAAGGAAAAGGTTTGGCACTTTGTTTTGTAATTGGCCTTGGAAGCACATGGGGCGTAATAATGACTTGATTCTTTAGTTCTACAGCGACTGTTCATGAACGTCGAAATCACAGTGGGTTTTTTTCAGATTTCCTTTACTTTCCGTCAAGGATTTGTTTCTTCCCTGCAAAAGTCCAACTGAAGCCCATGAAGTGAAACTTCCTTCAAATCCAGGATAAAGGGATAAAATGTATAGTAGTGCGAACCTTTTGTCCTGTTTTCCTCTTCGGGGATTTTGTTTGTTAATAATCTCAGTTTTATGAACAGCAATGAATTGCCGTAGGGAAGGCGACTCACTGCACAGGAATCGTCCCATTGCTAACAACTAACAAAGACCTCAAGGAAACATAAAAGCAAAATTCCTGTTGTGCCAAAGCTACCAAACCACAGACAAGCGAGTTTGTACAGAAACAAATCCAGAAATAGTAAAACACAAGACTGAATTGGAGTTAAAAGAGAGTCGAAACGAGAAAAAGAAGATTTCCTTCAAAAACATTGACCCTGTTGGGAGTTGAGAAATTTGGAACATACGAACTGATATCTGTCGAAAGATCTCACGTTTGCTGTCAAGTGCCAAAAAAGACTTTACCTGTATTTGTAGGGAGAACTGAAGAATCACCCCTTAATCCTTCCACCAATGTTTAGCATGGATATGATAATTCAAGAGATAGGCCTCAACTCCACTCCTACAATCCCTCCCAATATTCCTCAACCCAATTGATAGACAAATTATAGTAAAAATTGAATAAAAGACCCTTTTTCTTTACATGATTTTTCATTTTTAGTAAGCGAGTAAGAACATGTTAGAACAATTCTCCATTAGAGTCGTCTACCCAAGAAACCATCTAGCAGTAGAGGAATCTTTTTGACGGCCACCCTCGGGCTGACTTAGAAATTGATTGCTTCGAAAATGATTGCAACAACCGGAATTGTTGACTCTGCCACCCATTTGCACTTCGAGAACAAACCTTTGATTTGACGATTGGCATTTCACCAACCTCATTCCTGCCAAAACTGGTTTGCTAACAGCCGAACCATTCACATTGAACTTGGTTGATGCAGACCACGACCACACGCACTATCCAAAGTCTCTATTAAGTTATTTGAAGAACTATAAATATCTAGCCCTGCACCAATCATCTAACGTAAAAATGACAACACAATTATATCAACTTTAAGAATAAAAAATAAGGCCATGAGTTGGCGCCAAGACTCGTGTTTCAGGAAAAAATTGACAGGCATGAGCTTGAAAGGAACACAACGCAACGATTGTTGGAAGTATAACTCAAGAACTCGAACGCCCATAATTAACGGTGCAACGTCAAGATACTTCCTCCCAATTTTTAAGTGGATGCAGTACTATAGTCCTAAACATTATCAAACTAGGGATATCTGCTCCAGACTATATTTTCTAATAGTCTTTTACCATCTTTATGAAACTAACGCTCGAAACTAGGAGGGTAATATTAAGAAATGAGGGCTTCTGAATCTAAAGCATAATTGATTTCGAGATGATCAATTTCCACAGGGTAATGATTAGGACGAGAATGATCCAGAAGGCCAACTATACTCATACATTGATTGGAAAACTAGGGATTCGTCAATGTAGATAAAATTGAGTGGTGAACATATGGCGATGTTGATAAACTTGGGCTGTGAAAATGTGCCCATCCCCTATCAAATGAGACATTTCTTTTCACCATGGAAGAACAGTGTCGGAGTAAGTGCGCCTATCAGCCACTCGATACCCGTCTTACCGATGCTACGTTCTCTGAACCAACCAGATGGTGACCCCAACCAAAGGCAATTGCATGAGGCTTATATCTCAGAAACAGAGCAGCCCCCATGCTCCCCAATCATTAAACAGTTTACCTATTCAGAAACGGCTTTGGAATATATAGGTATTGAAATGATAAATTATCAAGGTTGGAGTTAAAATCAACTGCATAAAGCTCCTCCTAAACAAATTTCAAGTTCGGCTTACGTTCTTTTTTACCCATTCCTCTCACGTTACTCTTTGCCATTCATTCTGTAACATGAAAGGTACAAAAAGATATACTTTCTGTCCCATGTAAGCATAGATAACAGAATGATTATAGGGAAGGTGATCAGCTTGCAAGGGAATTCTTCGTTTTGATTGCTGCAGGAAAAGTAAGAGGGATGATTGCTCTTGGAGGCTTCTAGGCGTGATCCCTGTTTGTCTACCTTTGAAGACTTGCCGGGGTTTCAACCGGAATGATTCACTTGTTTGATTGGCAGTTTTTCGGTCTAAGGCCACATAAGCTACTCACTTATCTTATCACTCTGATAAAGTTTCACTAGTATTAAACTTTTGTTTAGAGATTTTATCCAGAACTCTGCTTGTTTTTGAGATTATCCGTGTTGAGATGCTCCCAAGTGCTCCTTGAGCAGCTGCTCTTTTTGTAATTGTACAGAACAGGCTCTTCTCAAGATAGCTTCCATACTAACAGGAGTCTCCAAATCTCAACGTTGAAGACTCCCCATGACATTCCAGCTTATCATTAATAAAAACTCATCTTTTAAAAATAAAAAAACAGGATGATTTTCAATAATATATTACGTAACATTGTAATCATACATCAATTTGTGATTCTGCCGAAATTCAACACCAAACTGAAAAAAGGAAAGGAGGCAATGCTTTCTTATAATAAGATCTTCAACGAGTCCAGCACCAAACCACATTAGGCTATTTGTTCAAAATGTTCGGTTGGGCAAGAAACCAACACAATCCATTATTTAACAGTTTCTGAGTTCCAAAAGTACACAAATGAACAAACGAGGACACATGTGAAACACAATAACTGTACGATTGCTCGCAAAAGGATCTACCTATGGTTCTCCACCCAGCTCCACCCGCAAGTTGTCATATGGATATACTTTTGGTGTCTGGTTAACAGAAGAGAAATGACATCAATCAGAGCATGAAAAGTTCAAATAGTCTAACCAGCGAGTAAAATAACCTTAAGGGTATAACAAACTAAATTCTTGCAAGCAACAACATTTTTACACCAAATTCATGAAATGTACGTCACATAAACTTCCCTCTAGCTACTAATGGCTCACCATATGAAATGTTTATTGATATATCAGTGAAAAATGAAATTAAAGGCTATACGATAAAAAAAGCAAACGCAATCTTCCAAAACAGAGATTACTAAACCACACACAGGCATAAGACTGCTAGTAGCAAAATTATTGTTTTAATTTCTCACAACCATTTCTCAAGAAGAACAAAATTTAGAATATTATGGAAACAAAAGATCTAATTGAAAAAGTTAACAGTGGTTTCCTATGTCTTGCCAGATGGATGAGAGCAATTTAATACTGAATACCTCTCCAGAAGGCTCATATTTAACAGTTTTAACCCATTGTGCTGAAAACCCTTATCCTATCCACAAATAGAGATTTTTAAGAATCCACTTTAGGTATCTATGCATGTGATGTTGCAGTGCTTTTTCATCATTCTAGTACAGGGATGAAAGGAAGCTGTCCTACAAAGGCTTCTTGCAAACCCCAAAACATTTTTGCAACTTTGCTAATTGAACATGAGATATAATTACTAATACTGTAGAAGAAAACCAATCGTCAAAATGAGACAGTACATTCCAATCAATAGAAAACTTCTGCCTCCTGAGCACAGAAGATACATTCAGTAAAAAAAAGCACAAGGATTTTAAAAGAACATTGACACTCAGGAGAAACAATTTTTGCAAGGAAAAATCAGGAAGCATGTTATTACAGACAATAGGGAAGACAGATGAACATAAAACTGCAGCATGCAGAAGAATGAGGCAGATCCAGGGCAAGGGCCCATATCAACAATTCAACATGTTCCCTTTCAAAGAAAAAAAAAAACAATTCAACATGTTCAGGAAAATGAAAATTCTGATTACATTCCCAAGGTTAAATAGAGAAGAAAGAAAACAAAAACCAAAGACATGAGCCTGTATGAAATTCTTACACTCAACTCTAATGATTGTTGAAAACAGGCTAGCTTCCTCTACTAAGAAACTATATTTCATTCAGAAGTGGATAGTTAATATAATTCAGAAATGGTCCCCTATCCAGGATCACCACTCATTTGAGCATGACATTCAATTTTCTAAGCAGACAACCATGGTACTTTTTTCCAATTCAAAACATATCCACAAACATCACCAAAGCACTACATTAATATCACATGAAGAAATGAAAGAACTAGAAAGAAAACTATAAATGAAGTAAGGCAAAATCAAATAATCAAGTCAGAGATTTTGAACTGACGAATGGAATCTTAGAGGCTTTGTCATTCCAACAAGCTAATAATCCCAACGATGCAAAGAAGCTCAAACCTCCGCACATCCAAGCCAATGCCTCATACTGTTCTCAAAAAACGAAATTAACAAAATGAAATGACACATAAGAATAAACCAGTGAAAAACAAAAGAAACTCAATCTCATCAAATAATCCAAAATTGCACAACGATAATCATACAACGGACCTCAAAAATCGATAAATTTCTTACCTTTCCGACAGTATCAGCGATTCGATCTATACAAGGTTCTGGAAATGCAGTTCCATTGTCCCAAATTAGCTCGTCATTTACAGGAAGCTGAAGCGTCAAAAAGAAGTGAAAATGTTACTTTTTTAGGGTTTTGGATAAATTGTTCCAATGATAATCGAGGAATAAATCCGAAAAACTATAAAGTGATTGAACTTACGGGCTTGTCGGGCACGATGTGTTTGCCCACAGGGAGGCCCATGCCAGAACGGAGGCGAAGAGAGGAGGCGACGGAGCGCGAAACGATGCCGTTTCCGCCCATGATCCGTGACGCGGCGTTGCTCAATCTCCCTGCCATTTTTTTTGGCCTTTCACTTTCTCCAGAACCAACCAACAGTAGTTATCTTACTCGATACCTGGAAAGCCATGGGCCATGAGCCCATAATAAAACCACAACTCGGGGTAGACAGAGCAAGGCATAAACAAAATAACGGGCTCAAGGCCCACTAATTTGGACATTCTTCAACCCATGTTGCCTTAGGCCTGTCTAGTAATCTTTTTCTTGTTTTAGGAATCTGGTAGTGTATTTAGTTTGACAACGGAGTTGAATTTTTTATATTTCATAGTACACAAACTTTTTACATACTATATTTGTTTGATCGATTTTACATTTGATTCAGAATTAATTAAAAAGGGATTATTAGTATTAGAGAAATTAAAAAAATATATATGGTCCTCCTTTTGCCTCTATCACCATTGTGAATTTCTGATTAGTAGCAATGTCGACAACAATAATTTCATTCCACCAAATACACATATGCCATACTACTTTCATGAATGCTCATTTCATTGTTATAGAAATAGAAATATATATATTATTATTTCACTTGAAATAAGTAATAAATTTAGGGGAAAAAATAAAAAAGAATGAGATACAATGAAGAATATTAGCAACTAGAAGTAATAAAATGATCATGAAGGTCGAACACGAGATGAAAAATGATAGGAAATGAAAGGGTTTATTTGAATTTTTTTAAATAGCTTAAGAGCTTATTTGAAAATTATGTTTATTTTGTTTTAGTGAAATGAAAAGTTTCTATATACAAGATCTTTTATTGAGGCAATATATATATATATGTAGGATTTACTTAATATTTAACTAATCAAAATTTATTTAAGCATAATGCTCAAATAAGTCCCTAAATTATTTAAAAAAATTAAAATAAACTTTTCTTTATTTATTGCTTTCAATTAATATTTTATATTTTTATTTTGAATCAAATAAAACGTTATAAATATCATTTGTCATTTTATATCTACATAGTACTGACATGACATTGATATGAATTGTAAAAAAATCATATAATTATATTATCATGTCAAATTAATATATTATATTATCATCAATTATGATATGTCAACATGTCATATCATTATTAATTATAATATATTAACATGTCACGTCAATGACACACGATATAAAATCATAAATAGCACTTTAACTAATTTAATTATTAATTATAAAAATTTATTTAATTTAAAATAAAAATATAAAAACTTATTTATCTTAAAATAAAAATATAAAATTTTAATAAAACACAATAAAGATATAAAAATTAATTAAAATTTTTCTAAATAATTTTAAATTTTCATTTACATATACAATTTATTTAATTAATCGTCATTAAGTCCATATATATGTATACATACCCGTAGTGCTGCTACAAATTCAAAGCTCGACTCCTAACAATATAGCAAACCAAAAATACAAACAACAATGAAAAACACAACCAAATTAAGCAATTAAATAATCAAAAAGAATTTTCCACTTTTACCGAGATCTCAACCAAAACTCTACGCTGAAATAACTCAAATCAACTCCTTTGGATAGAACGGTGTTACCGAACCAGACGGCCATCGTGTCACTAGTCACCTCTGCCGACACCTATTTCTATAAGAGATTCACCACAAAATTTTGCTTCTTTAAATATATTCCAAAAAAAGACGTGACCAATAACCTCTCGAAATGTCAATCCTCTCCACAATTTCTAAGGTCTTTTACACGGGATTAAGACCCAAGAAAACAACACCCATAGAATCTGATTTTTTTAATTAGCGATTTCTTGCCAATTCATAATTATTTATAATATATTTTAAGAGTTAATTTTTTAAATTTAAAAAAAATTGAATTTTATTTTTTTAATAATAAATCAAATACTCGAATGAATCTCAAGATTTATTTTAATAATGTATAACTTAACATAATTTGAGTCTCATATACCAACTTATCCAAAAAAAAATTATTATGGATGATATGTTCTGAATTTCTCAACACGTCCACCACATTCTGAGGGGTTGCCCTAGGGTGGAACCGTCAACAATGAACTTGAGGAAATCTGGATTGGATGGTTTCCACTGGATTCCTTTTCCGCGATCAAGGAACTTTGCAGTTGATGGATGCCTACAGGGAAGATGAACGAGAGCCTGCCTTGCAGATTATAGTATGGTTTGTATGGTTGTTTGCTTTCTGTATGGCATGTCTGAGTTGTCGGAATCTGATGCATATGCTGTTCGACTCTTGACAAGGTGCGGTGTGTGGGATTTTTGCTGGATGAGTATCTCATTCGCGAGCTGCTTTTGCTGGAAATTCAGTGTACAGGGAAGATGTTAAGTTGTTTATTTTGTTCAAATAGGGGGATTTGCCCAGCATCTCTAACTCGGGTATATGTTCAAAAATTCCTTCCCCAGATCGAGTATAGTTGTTAACAATACATTTTTGCAGAGGTTATGTTTGTACAGAGGTGCTTGCTGTTATCTGTTTTTGAACGTATAATAGATGCTGTAATTTTTGGCTTTGATTTTTCTTACAATCTATCAATTCGATTTAAACATTTATATAATATGTATTTTTTAAAAAAACTTTTCATTTTTTTAGCGTAACTTTTGTAATATTCCTAAAAAAATCTACTTAATTAGTTATATAAAAAAGTAAGTACTAAATTATAGTCTACATTAAATAAATAAGTATAATATAAGTCTAACCTTTTTTTTAATTGTAGATAGGACCTTTAGGTTTATTAATAAAGAAAGAATAGAAGAAGAGGTTTTTAAGCTAATAAAGTAGTTTAGTTAATATCAATTACTTGCTGAGTAGTTGTACTCATTTCAATATCTTTGTAAGTTTGGAAGTCAAACTTGCCCAAACTTGCTTAATTAGAGTTTTGGTTAGTAAGATTAACATATGCCCTTGGATAATTATAAGTTTTAATGTGAGTATTCAGTTTTTATTTTGTTAAATAGATATTACCTAGATGAGAAATTTATATTTTTTGGAGAATTGTATTTTAATATTATATTTGGAGACTTGAGGTTTTGTAAAGTGTAAATTTTGAAAAGATCGTAAGTGTATTACATTTGATTTAGTATGATATTATTGCCTTAAATGCTTATGGGATTCATCTCATAAGTATGTGAAGTCTGTTATGTCTCAAAACGTAAGTTTGAGCTATGACAACTTTATTAAAATATTTTGTATTATTGTGTAAAATATGTTATAGTCCTATGGAATAAAATATGAATTGCTTAATTGCTTGAAGAGTATAATTTTTTATTTTAATTTTTCTTATAATTTATTAATTCAATTTAGGTAATTATGCAATATCTCATACATTAACATGAAAAATTAAATAACTTTTTTAAATCAAATAGGTACAAAATGATTGTTAAAAATATTAATAATGATTTAGTTATTCGATTAATTTGAAAGTATGAAAGCGTTGAACGTAGCTTACAATGCTTAATGTAAAAATCTAATATTAATTTTTCTTTCTACTTTATATCTATTTATATTTATGAATTTGAAAACATATAATTTTAAAAGTGATTAATTTCTCTAAACCGAATTATTAACCCGATTCACGACTTGGTATGATTACTATTTAACCATCTCTTATATAAAATTTTAAATTCGTCATTGACTATACAAGTGTTTATATAACAAAATCACTCTAATTAATAAACCCATTTGTGTGTGAACTTTGTGAATTGTTTATTGGCACATGTATGCCATAAAAACAATCATTAATAATTCTGGATTTTACAATACTTGTTTGTAATTCCAATGCAAAGGCAAACATCCGCTTCAAGATCAACCAAACCCTTAATGAGGCTGCAGCATGGTTTCTGTGGGTTACCAACATCTACCTTCACGACACCTTTCAACAGGTTGGCGCAAACGTTCAAAGTTAAGCCATTCTTTTGGCATTTGGGTTGATTGTCAGCGTTGGTCATTGATGAAAAGAGCAGGTTGAGGGTGAGAAGAAGGGCAATTGTTGCTGAAGCCTTTGAAGCCATTTCCCTCAGGCAATTAGCTTAAGTGGCTTTTGAAATAGAGATTGAACTTTAGAAAAGGCTGAGTGAGGGAAAATGTTGAGCGCAGAGAAGCTTTTACAGATGGGAGATGGGGAGCTGTTTGGACATAAAACAATGGAACGTGGCTCATGTGGGCACATCTGGAGTGAAAATGGGGATTATGCACGACTGGGCAGTCAACACTCAACATGGGTTCTTCGCCGGGATGGATCGCAATTATTAGAGAGTTCTCATGTAACGTTAGCTGTCGATTCTTCCATTTTTCTATAATTTTCCGAGGTTTTTGCTTCAATAACAATGTAAGAGATGGAATAATTTGCGCGTAATTTTAGTACAAAGGATCTCCATTATAGATTTTATGGAACACCTATACTTCCAATCACGTAGCTTTGATTTAGGTGCCAAATGAATAATAAGAACTCAATTTTTTAAATTTTAATTATATCATCAGCAATTATTTATTGACATTACAATAAATTTGACTTAAAAGAGTACACTTTAAAAATGTATTATTAAAAATATTTTTAATGATATTTTTTTATATTTTAAAATATTTTTATAGATCTAATCTCAGTATATAAATTTTCATATCCATTATTAATAAAATGTAACGATAAAAATTATATACACTAACAAAGATTGTGCTTTTTTCTATTGTTATTAAATATGAAAAAAAAGAAATTAAAAATTTAAATAACTATATTTTTAAAATTTTACTAAAAAAATATGTTTTTTTAAAAAGTGTAATTAAAATTCAATTTTTTTATAGTATAATTTGGTTGTCAAGGTATAACTTATTAATTAATTAAATAAAATATATCACCATTGTGATTAACTAAGAATAGCATCCAATCACCCACATTTGAATTTTTTTTTTTAAAAAAAAGCAAATATAAGATTTCATTACTATTAATTTCTTTACAAAAGCTACCTAGCCAGCGGTAGTAATGCAAGCAACCCGTAATAGGGAACAAGCAACCCCCATTAAACTGTTGCCTGCGTGTAGAACAGAAAAAAGAGTCCGCCAATCATAGGTTGCTAGTGGAATCAACCTCCCAGAAAATTAATATTGCTATGTAATTGTATCCTTTCAAAAAAAAAAATATTGCTATGTAATTATTATCACTTAATCTCGAAATAAATTTATCAATATAGAGGTGTCTATGAGTTGGGTGAAATTGGGTTCAATTAAAACTTGAACTTGAGGTTTAAGGTCCGATTCATCCATTTAAATTAAATATATTATTAAAACATTTTTAATATATTGTTATATATTTTAATATTTTTAAATGTACTTTACAATAAAAATTAAATTAAATTATTTATTTAAAAATATAATGATGTTTAAAAATAGGTCGAACCTTAACATAAAAATCACACTCAAACTCAACCCCACTCATGCCTTGACAAGTAATCCGGTGAGAGTTGTGAACAAACTGAAAAAAGGTCAGCAATGGGTTTTGGTTATAAACGTGGCCTAAGGCTGAAAACAAGTCTTCTACCTACGCCTAGACTGAAGACTTGTTTCAGAACCATGTACTCCATTATTACAATATATATATATATATAATAAGTTTTTATTTTTTAAAAAAAGTAATCCGACTCGTAAACACCTCCACAAAAAAACTTATTGAAAAAATAAATTTTGGGTGCCATAGTTAGTAAATTTTTCATTATCTAGTAATTTTAACCTTATGATTACATTGTGTTTAATTACTGGAAGCCAGAAGAGACCTCCTTTCCACAGTTATTGAGCAGCAAGCTCAAGGAAACGGAGACCAAATTGACTTGATGGCGGTGCAAAGGCGAAGGGGTGGCTTCAAGATCAACCAAATTGACCATCAATAAGCTTAACATCCACCAAAACTGTTCGTTAAGTTAGCATAAAATTAACGCACACCCAAACTTAGGGCAGGACAAGAGCACTCGCGCGGATCTTTGGGAGTTTTGCCTATGATGGGCTTAAGGGTAATTCGCAGAGAAAGACCTGCGGAGGCGAACATATGCCTCTGAAGTTTGAAGCCATATAATGGTAAAAGAAGAACTAATTAAGCATTTATACGCTTTTGATTTAAAATATGTATGGAAAGCCTTATGCAAATGTTTCACAAAACCACAAATACTGCAATAATCATGTTCATAATGACTGATTTTATTACTTGGATAACAACTCTCATCGCACACAGTAGAATATGTAAAATACAAAGGATTGCAACATTGAGGAGGAAGGTCAGAACCTTCCGTCCCCAGAAACTTTATTAGTAGAACATATAATTATTAACCTCACTTAAGAATGGAGATCAAATAGGCTTTAATTAACTAATAGAGTGGTTTCCTTAGCAATGGTAGGCTCTGCGATCCATTTCACAGAAATCGAGCAGAAAATCCAATTGAACGGCAGCGCGCAAGTGGACGAGGCCCAGGATATTGGCATCGACGAGAGTGCAAAGGCAAACATCTGCCTCAAGGTCAACCAAACCCTTAATGAGGCTGCAGCATGGGCTCCGCGGGTTGCCAACACGTACACTCAAGAAATTCTCCAACACGTTGGCGCAAACATTTAAGGTTAAGCCATTCTTTTCGCATTTGGGTTGGTTAATGTTGGCGTTGGCCATTGATAAAAAGAGCAGGTTGAGTGAGAGAAGAAAAGCAATTGCTGGTAAAGCCTTTGAAGCCATTTTTCAAGCAACTCCTAAGTTAATTAGCTCAAGAGTGGTTTTAATTTGAGGAATATGAACTTTGGGTTCTGAGAGAAGGCTGAGCGATGAAAAACGTTGAGTGCAGAACGGCTTTTATAGATGGGAAATAGGGAACTGTTTGGGCTTAAAAAAATTTGAACGTGGTTCATGTGGGCACATTTGGAGTGAAAATAGGGATTACATACAACTTGGCAGTCAACACTCAACATGGATTATTAGATTATACGCCTGGATCACAATTATTTAAGAGTTTTCATGTAATATTAGCTGTTGATTCTTCTGAAGATAAACAACCCTTTGATTTATGTATAGTTTCCAAAGATGTCTGGGTACAATAAAATGTAAGAGATCCAACAATTAGAGCATGATTTTATTATGTACCAGGATCTGCACATCACAGATTTTTATAGGTACACATATACTTGCAATCACGTAGCTTTGAGCCAATTTCGCCAGCAGCTGGAAATTTGGTGTTTTGTGAGAATGATTTAGCCGTCGGGCATCAATTGTTTACTGTGTGTCGTCAAGGTGTAACTGCTTTAATTAAATACGATCAATAATTCTCACCACACATGTGCTTTGTACTTATTGTTACATAGCTTGAAAGTAAATTACAAAGGAACAGCTGATATTTTTGAGGGGGCTGTTAATGTTAAGCTAATACTTGCATGAGATGAACACATGTCAAGCTTTATACATATTTTACTTCGTTGTACTGGTTGTTAATCATGTGTGCCTTTCTCTTAACTCTCCCTTCCACGTGTAGCTTTGCATGGTTTTGCTTAGTTTATGTTACAATCCTTGTACTTGCAGCATATCACAAGTGTTAATCGAGTACGCTGCCCATAAAAGTTGTAATTAATCATATTAATATATGAAACAGTAGCTCTTTGTTACCATCGATCATCTTCCTTATGCTTTAATAGTCCCTGTTCTATACTTCGATAACAGAGGCTGTGCTGTGTAAAGTAGTCGTTTTCACCTGCCTTACTCGAATAAAACAGTTAACTGGTGAAATTTTTCGTTCCATGTATTGTATGGTGACTGTTCATGATATATAGTTGGTAATAAAAGTAATTATACATTGATTAAACTTTGGTAGCAAAATATATCAATATTTTTCTTTTTCTTTGCTTTTTACTTCCCCTTTCCTGCTCAGCTTCTGCCATTTTCTTGTTTTAATAACAAAACTAAAGAAAAGTAATTACTCAGTGATTAAACTTTGGAAGCAAAATATACCAAGCAGACAAACAGGTTACTAAAGTCTAGGCAATGGAATCGTACATGTGTATGTGTCGTCCTCCAGATGAGATCGATCAAGAAACTATGGCCAAGAGATTACAAGATATAACAAGCCCTTAAAACTTGAAAACTCTGAAAAGCAGCCAATGAAGCCCAATCATCATCTGCGAAAGCCGAGATTAGCATTCAAATGTCTTGTGATTGGATGCTATTCTTGGTTAATATTATATAAATTATACATAGACAACCTAGAAAAGAAATCGATCACCGACGACATAATTAAAATTTCAAGTATTGTTAGTGTTGGGTTCTTATCATGCATGTGGGAATTGTCTCAAACCTACGTGATTGCAGGAATAGGTGTTCCCATAAAATCTGTAATGCAGATCCTCTCGTACTAATTATATTATGTGTTGCTCATTCGATCTCTCACATTGATATTGAAACAAAAACCTTGGGAAATTATAGAAAAAGGAAGAGCTGGGGAATCGACAGCTAACATTAGATAAAAACTCTCAAATAATTATGATCCAGGCATAAAATCAAAAAAATAATGTTTAGTTTTGACTGCCAAGTTGTATATAATCCCCATTTTCACTCGGAATGTGCCCACATGAGCCACGTTCTATTTTTTTAAGACCAAACAGTTCCCCACTCCCATCTATAAAAGCCTCATTGCACTCACATTTTTCCTCACTCAGCCTCTCCGAACATAAAGCTCAATCTCTATTTCAAAAACCGCTTAAGCTAATTAACTTAGGAATTGTTTTGTGTCAAATGGCTTCCAGGGCTTTACCAACAATTGCTCTTCTTCTCACCCTCAACCTGCTCTTTTTGTCAATGGCCAACGCTCAAAATGAACACAAATGCCGAAAGGACACCCTAACCTTGAATCTTTGCGCCAACGTGTTGGCAGATTTCTTGAAGCTAGGTGTCGGTAAGCCACATAGCCCTTGCTGCAGCCTCATTAGGGGTTTGGTTGATGTTGAATTGGATGCTTGCCTTTGCACTGTTGTCAAAGCCAATATCTTGGGCCTCATCAACTTGGAGGCTCCCATACAATTGGGTCTCCTGCTCGATTTCTGTGACATGAATCACAGAGATTACAACTGCCAATGAAATCATCTATTTATTAAGTTCGTAATATCTCCTTTACTTGAATAATATTTTAATTAACGTTTTAAGTTCTTTTTGCATGATGTACCTTCCTGTCGATTAATAATGTTTTTGTAGACGGAAGGCTTCTCACCTTGTTTGTCTATGTTGCTATTCTTTGTTTCTTATATGTTCTACGGCTTATGTAATGAAAGTTTTCACCCGAGTAATGAAATGAAATAGTATTAAAAAAATAATAGTGACTTAGTGATTGCAATGTTGTTCTTTTTTTTTTTAACATTTGCGTACTTGTAACTAGTAAATACAGCTATGCTTTCAGAAATGTAATAAAGCAAAAAAAAAAAAAAGAGTAGAAGTCTAGAAGATGGAAGCATGGATATATTAATGCATTACAAAGAGAAAATTAAGCCTTTACTAATGAAGCAAAAGGCCAATTATTTTAAATTGAAACAACCGACTGAAATCTGAATCAACTGGAACTCATAAGTTAAAAAAGCCTTCGAAAAGGTGCCAACACAAGAGTAACGTCCATTGCTCTTTAAAGTCCCAACTGGCTTTGATACTCGAGAATAGTCTTAGCCGATTCCCTAAGCCTTTGCACCTCTTCATCCGTTAAATGGATATTGGTCACGCCCAAGACTCCACCCCTGCCGAGCTGGGCCGGCAAGCTCAAGAACACATCACCACCGTTGATGCCGTAAAACCCCTTTGCAAGGACTGAAACTGGGTGGATTTTCCTCTGGTCCCTAAGCAGGGTTCTAGCCAAGTTAGCCACGGAGTAGCCAATTGCCCAAGACGTATACCCTTTGAGACTTATCACCTCGTATGCACTGCCAATAACTGCTTTATGAATGTTCTCAAGGGTCTCCTTTTCGTAGGCAATTTGCTGATTCTTTAGGAAGCTTAACACCGGCACTCCACCAACACTAATGCTAGACCACAGTGCCACCGAACTGTCTCCATGCTCACCAACCATGTAGGCCTGCAAATATTTTACAAGCATTTGGAACAATTACAAGTAACTAGCTAATTCTTGGGGTCAAATTTGATCAAATTTGTAACTAGTAGAGCAAACGTATGTTTAGGACTTCCTCAAATGAAATTCCCAGATTTTTAACCTTCTATTATAATATATTCGAAAACTGAAAGTAATGGATGCTTGGAAAAAATCTTAAAAGAGACCAAAGACTTATACCCATAGGCAAACAAATTAGTGGCTTAGCCAAAAGAATACGTTAGTGACTTAAAACAGCACTTATGATTACTAGGAAGCTGCCAATAAACCTTAATAGAAAAACTAACAAAAAGAACATAGTGTCTTTGGCCATTGCGACGTGTCTTCTTATCCCATAAGATGTGGAAATGTTCCTGTACATTGTAAAAAAATTAAAATCAAACTGACCTGCACATCCTGAGCGTTGACGTCCAAATGATCAGCGATCAAGAACCGAAACCGCGACGAATCCAAGTTTGTTCCCGAACCGATGACCCGGTTCGATGGAAATCCCGACAGTTTCCAAGCCACGTAAGTTAGCACATCCACCGGATTCGACACAATCAATAGAATCGAATCTGGCGAGTATTTTGCTAGTGGAGGTATAATGTTCGAAAACAGAGCTAGGTTCCTCTGCAGCAGATTCAGCCTAGACTCCCCAGGGTTCTGACGGGCGCCAGCAGTGACGATACACAGATCAGATCCAACGGTTACGGAATAATCAACGGAAGCGTTGATCTTGGTGCGGGGGAGGAACGCGGCGGCGTGTTGGAGATCGAGCATTTCGCCGCGGAGCTTATCGGCCTTGGCGTCGACGAGGGAGAGTTCGTCGGCCAAGTCTTGAGTGAGGATGGTTTGGGCGATTGCCATGCCGACATTTCCGACTCCGATGACGGAGATCTTTGTGTGGCGCTTGGTGGGGGAAGGTGGGGCAGCGTTCTGGATGCGCTTGAAGAAGGCTTGAGTGAGGTCCAGCCCGCCTGGACCCAAAGAAGAAGCTGAATCACTCTTTTGCATTGTAATAATGGAAAACTTGGAGCTAAGAGAATTGAAGTTTAGTTGATTTGTTTATGGATTTCTCTCGCTGTCCCGTTTGGGGATTTATAGATGGAAAAGGAAAGAGGGTTGAGTGCAGCAGGAGAAAAACGGGGTTTTCAGATTTTTTCAACATTCGCCAGATATTTTTTCTCGAAGACAAGTCAAAGACTTTTCGTAGCAGTTGGTCCAAACCTCAGCATTATTCTCATGTTTTAATATGTTTCCCTACTTCTGTCCAGCGCAAGGACCACGCGGCACTTACCGAAGGTTCCACGGCAACGCGAATTAAGAATTTTCATCCCGATTAACATGTGCATTACTTTGTAATTTTTCCTGTAGTATTTTCATTTTTAACTGTTTGTTAATTGCTACATATAAAATTCTACCTTCTTTTTCCAACCATTGAATATGCATCGTACAAAATCATGACGGACATGTGAACGAGATTTCGTATTCAATATTTAGATATTTTTCCGTTTTGTCATTACTCGAATTTTGATGCATAAAAATTAATTCATAAATTTTTTAAAGAAGTAACATTTTGTTGCTTGACATCAAAATCAAAATCAGCTACTTGTAATTTAAATAGAGATAAAATATCTAAACATAAATATTTTATTTGGTAATATCTATGATAATGAGATAGTGTTAAAAATAAGAAAAAAAAAAGAAATTTTCAAAATTCATAATTAAGATGATTGAACCAAAAACAATAGAGAATATTATAAGAGCATCTGGTGAACCTATACTAATTAGGATCTTATCTTTTATGTCTGTTGCTTCTCTCCATATAGAATAAAAAGATTAATGAGCATCAATTCCATGGCCATATGGGTATACAAGTGCTATTTTTGTTTTTTTTTATTAAGACCAATTAGGAGATAGATAGCACGCGTTTGAATTGCCAGTGGATGTGATCATCCTTTCCATGTCACTGGGAACGAATTAGTTTTGTGCCTGTGGACGCAGTTGAGTTGCAGACGAAGTTGCATGGGCATGGAATCATAAGATGAAGGGTGGAGGTTCTATTGATCATAATCAACACAATAACAAAGCAACGCGTGGAACGGGATCATGACTTGACTATTCCAGAAGCTGGGGTGCAAGGCACGTCACGTGGAAGAATGGATGCACCCTCGTGGTACGGCAGATCCGTACTACAATTTCGTCACACCCAACCCACGGAACCCACATCCCAATCCGTGGGTCGCCAGCGAATCTAGGGCGGTGCTACTTTCTCATTTTTATATCGTTTTCTCCTAAAAATGGGATTCCAATCCAAGTCGCATGAAATTCTAGTTAAATATTCACGTTAATATTTGGCTTTTATAGGAAATTGATAGAACCATTTTAACCTATTTGATTTTCCATTTTAAGAATTCATGAATTCCAAGTATTCTAGAAACTGATGCATTATTCGCAACAGCCATTACCTCTTGCCATAGTATTTTCCATTCCCTTTCATAGGGCTTTTGCAACATTGGAAAAAAGTTCGGGTCCTCAAAACCAGAGCGGCGAAGCCCCCTGATTTGAGATTGAGGCAGTTAATGATAACAAGCAATTGCTTTTAAGGCATTGAAAAACTCAAAATTCCGTTCGTCCATCATACTTTGTGGAAAATAGAATGCCTTTTCCCAAAATTTCCGCGAAGTAGTATCTTCCACCTGTCTCCGATTTCTACTACACCGTCATATTTCATGGTAGCACAAGCTAACTTTTGCCGACTGGTCTTGCTCATTGCCCAACAAGAAAAAATGAAAAAAAACCGAAGAACATGAAGAAACCTGGGGCCGGTTTCGACCGTCAACTGTCTGGCTAAGTAATGCAGAGTTGTTTTGACTTTTGACCATTCTAATTTCTAAGGAGATTTTATTTTTCATTTTTCTATAAAGAGGAATAGGAAATATGATTATTAATCTGTATTTAAGCACCATGGAACCTGTCAATAAGCCCCAAGAAAACAAAATTTTTTAAGCTAGTCAAAGTGGCTTCTTCTTTCTCTTTCCAAAAAGTATTACTACATATGAATCACTCTCATTACCTCTAACAAATAAAAATGCAATATGGCATTCAAAGTTATTATATTAGTATAGTTGAATTCATGAGCTACTAATACTAATATTCATCAACAATGGATGATATATTCGACTTCAACTAAATTCTTGTGAGATCAATTTTAAAATTTAAATCATTACAATACTTAATTTATTATTTTTTGGTAAAGTATTATCAATTTATTAAATTTTTGTAATTGTTGTTGGAAAGTTCATTAAATGGCATAGATGCCTTAAAGATAATAATTTTGGGTTGTAGTCATGGTAGGGCATGGAGATTGAGAGAGAGAAAGATAGAGGAAGAAAATAAAAGAACCACTATGCTTTTCACACGGGAAGAGAACAAGAAAAAGAAAAAAAAATGGAGAAAATAAAAAAAATTATATCTAGTTTAATTACAATATTATTATTTATTTTTTTACTATAAAAATCTTAAGCTTTTTTTAGTTATTAATAAAATAATCTTATATAATTTATTTATTTCTTTTCATTTTTCTGTTTTTCATCATTATGTGTTTTTTTATTTTTAAGTTGATAAACACTGAATAAAAATATTTTCAGTATTATTAATTAAATTAGTTATAATGTTCTTTGTAATTTTATTTTTCAATTATTTGAAGATAATTATGATTTTTTATAGTTGTAAATAAATGTTAACTAATGGTAATAAATATAACAATAAGAGAGACTTAAATGTATTTTAAAAATGGATTGAAAGGGTTTTTATATTTTCTTACAAAAAAGTATAATATCACATAAGTTTCTAAATTTTTTTAAAAAATTTGAATAAATTGTTATTCACTTATTACGTTCAGTCAAGTGTTTATATTTTTATTTTGAGTCAAGTCAGTTTTTATATTTTTATTTTTAATCAAATAAACTTTTATAAGTAATATTTTATTTAGTTAAAATATCACTTATCATTTTATGTGACGTGATGTTAACATGAAATGTTGATATATTATAATAAATAATAAATAATTACAAAATAAGATAATATGATATACTGACATGATTTTTTGATTTTTTTTTACACGTTAATGTCATGTTAATATCATATATATATAAAATGATAAATAATATTTAATTAATAATATTTAATTAATTTTTAATTATAAAAATTATTTAATTTAAAATAAAATTAAATAAACATAATAAAAATAAATATTTATTTAATTTTTTAAATAATTTAAATACTTTTTCAAGTATTATAAACAAAAGCAAGATACTCGACAAAATGAATGACGAGGTCAGGGCAAGGCACAGGTAAATCCAAGATTACGCATTTTCAGTAGAACTGCCACTCAAATCGTGCCATCTGGTATAAACCTTGACATTTTGCCATTTGCTGCTCAAGAATAAGTCCTTATGCCAGATGGCATATTTTTAGATCACGAAGCCCCCTTCGCTGCCGCATCCCCTTCCTTGTCCTTTTTCCTGCACAAGCCAAGAGTGCCAAACAGAGAGCAGAGGCGACAAGATGGAGGCAGCGTTGGCAGAGCTAGAGCGAGTCCAGACTCAAATCCTCGAAAGAATATCGAAGCTAGAGCTCTCTCACCTGCCTCAAAACGCTGAACCTCTCGCTTCCTCATCTCCTCTCACCAACGACGACGTCGAAGCTCGCCTCTCTAACATTCTCCGATCCAACGGCGTCAACGACTTCTTCTTCAAGAGAGTCTCCTCCGATTACTATGATTGGTCGCTCAAGTCCCGTCGCGAAGTCCTCGGCGCCGCCTCTGTTCATCATCTCTGTAAAAGCATCGTTTTGGTTCGTCCGTTTCAGTACTTTAGTTTAAATTAATGATTGATAAATTTAATTGCATTTAGCCCATTTTCTTTAATTAGATATGACATCCTAATTTGATTACGAGTATGAGACTGTCTTTAGGTTCAATTTAATTAGTGATAAATAAGAGATTGGAGAAGCTATTGCGTAGTGCAATGCAGAATCAAAATTTTTAACTTCATCTAAAGTCGCAAAACGTTAAACTTTTCAATTTCAGTTCAATATTATAATGAATGGATTACATAACAATGCCTATCTATAGAATTGAAGAAACGTTTTCTGAAGAAATGTAGTAGATGATATGAGGATGTTGAGGTTGGTTGTATCGGAATATGTGATTCAAAAAATAAATGAAGGTGGAAAAAATTAGTTGTTTGCTTTAGTTAAGGAGGAGACGTTACCTTGTAAGAATGGTTAGTACTAATGTTGCTTGACATTGAGGATCCACAGAACTAGTGGCATAATATGTCATATGGTTCAAAATGGCTATCATGTGAAATAGTTCTCACATGACCAACTTGTGATGGGCATTTTTGAGTTGACTTGTGGTCCTATACCCTTTGCACATGGTAACCTAGTGGTTTCTGAGAAGAATATGTTGTTAAGAGGATAAAATATTTGAAGTTCTGATATGAACAGTTAAACATAGCCATTTTAGTGCTGAGTATTGTGAAGTGTCACATATTTGCATTCCACATATAATGTAGTTTTGCATTTGTATGGAGTAATACTCAGCACCTTTCTTGGGTTTTTGCTTAGTGGCAAGCTTTGGAGCCCATAGAGATGGTGAAGGCTTCTGCTTAGGAGGTTCAAGTTTGAAGATAGAGATTATCTGTAGTTGAGGGGCTCAAGAGGAATGTTGTGGATGGTGTTATATGTGGATTAGGCATTTGTTTAGCATTAAAACACTAAAATCCAAAGCATATTGATGAATGAGAGGAGATGGAGAGATGAAAATAGATATAAGCAGCCATACCTTCGAAATGTGTTGTTCAAACTGGAAAGCCGACGTACCAATTGCTGAGTGCTCTTGTTATTCAACACACTTTGACACCCACCTCATCTTCTCTCCTTCCATTTTTTCTTTTCTTCCATTTCTATGGTGACTTTTTTTCATTTTTCTACTGCAAAAGACCCTAAGTATGATTGCTCATTACTAACCTAGCACTAAAACTGCTTTGTTTGCTCAGGTTAATACTCAAGCACCATCCAATGTAATCGATTGTAGTGATCGTAACAATTCAAAGTATTATGTTGTTGTAGTCCAGGTAACTTCTTATTCCATATGTATCAACAATATGCCATTTGGCCTGCCCCTAGAAAAATGATCTGACATTTGAACATTTTCTTATTGCAGTATACTGCTAGATTCAATGCTGAAACTGTAAAAAATTTTCTATACACACTCAACAACGGCAAGATATCAAAGAAGAAATTTAACTGTAAGTTATTTATTTGCAATCCTCTTTATGATAAAAAAAGACTCCTTTTAAAGATCAGAGACAGTCTATTAAAATTATTTTTGGACTATTCTAGCCATTCTAAAATGTGTGGTATATTCCTAAAGACCCAACAGACCTTTGTGACTGTAATGAATCAAAGCAAGTATATGTGACAGTCAATAGATGATGCTTGGTCTGGTGAAAAGATCCAGGCATATCTGATTGTAGTTGGTTTCAACATCATATTCTGGCACGTTGGTGCCAATACAAATCCATTCATGCATTAGTCTTGATTAAGCTCTTTATCTAATAAAGGAGTAAAGGATTCCTTGTTTTTTATTTCTTTCCTTGTTAAGGTTGGGATCTCCAAATTGTTTATTTAGTTAATCATTTAACTTGTTTAAAATAATGCAGTGAGGCTTGCTCCTGAGGAGACATCAATAAAGTTGACTGGCTATGAGCACAATGCAGTTACTTGCATTGGCATGCAAACTGACATTCCAGTAAGCGCTCTCTATCCAAATCTATATATTCTAGCTTTACATGACACCTCATAGTTTCATTGTTTTTTTTTCTTCCTCTCTCTTCACATTTATTGGTTGTTATTTTAATTTCTTAGTATATTGATAACCTTTTGCATCTTGTATTGCTCATTATTTCTAGTTGGACTATCATTGTTGTATAAATGAATTGAAAATTATTGAATATAGGATTGATCTTCAGCATGTAATATAATACAATGAACAATAGAAAGGGAACAAGGACAGAACTTGCAAGTAGAAATGTTGGTTCATTTGCTTTTAGACTTCTAAATGCTTTGATTTGGTTTTAGAGTAAACATGTTCTTGATGCTTGTCTTTTAGACAGTACCCCCTTCAATGTATGTCCTTTCTGTAGGAAGAGCTCATGGGGCCCTGACATATAATTTGCCTGGGTAGATATCAATCCTTATCATAGTTAGAACCAGTGTGGCTGCTTTATATATACAGATATTCTGATGTTGAACAGTAAAAAAATCATGTAGTTTTTAAGTCTATTATGTGTATTTCTGTATAGCAACGCATGGAATCCTTGTTCATCATTTCCAATATTTCAATCTATGTGCCGGCTTTTGGGTTGGTCCATTGTTCCTAATGTCAGCTCCAATGATTTGCTGCCAGTCTGCCACATTGACAAATGCAGTTGTAGAGCTTTTTTTTTCTTCTCTGTGTCTCTACATATTCCTGTTCCATAAGGTGGTAACTTAGGTCAACTGGCAAAGATGGAAGCTGAAGATGGTTTGAAAATATAGTTGCAAGAATGCCATCTCTGGTTTTCTCATGTACGCAAATTAACTTACCTGAATGGGCAAAGTTCAATTAATAAAGTGAGAGTGCATATCCTAGGAGTTATTGGTGATCGTAATTTGAAATACTATATTACAATTTCAATAAGAAATGGGAAAACAAATTTAAATGTTTCTCATTGAAGGTATGATCAATCTTGATAGGCTAAATGAATGACTATCACACATGCTTATGCATTTATAGACAGTGAAAGGCAGAGAGGGAAAGAGTTTGTTTTGCTCATTATACTTCTAGTAACTGGATAAAATTGAAATTGATTTCAGGTAATTTTGGATGAAGCTATTGTAAAACTTAGTCCTGATTTCTTCTGGTTGGGTGGAGGAGAGGTTGATTTAAAGCTTGGAATCAGAACCTCTGAATTTATCAGCTTTGTCAAACCTTTCATTGTGAACTGCAGTGGTACCTGAGTATACCAAATGAATCCATTAATTAAATTGGAAGGACGTTATGACTAAAGACAATTTAGTAAAGAGTTCAAGGAATGCCATTCCTATGGAAACCCCATCTGTTGGAGAAATTGATGCTTCAGATTTGGAGACTAAATTTCGGCATTTTTTCTTTCTTTTGGTTTCTTTGGGCTATTCAAATTTGGAAGCCAATCAGGCAATATTTGATGATGTAGCTAGGTAAGTTTGTTGATTGGAACGAAATTTTGATATCTTGGGGAGAGCCGGAAAGTTCAGGTTGTGCTACTTTCATAGTAATATGATATTGGACATTTTCAGATTGTTTTCTACGAGGTCAATTTACTTGGCAATGCTGGCGCATGATTTACAGAGGGCCACGTGTTGCATAACTCTTGGCTACTGAATGCGTAGCAGGCAGTATAATCTCTGGCCCGTTGTTGGCTATACGAGGAAGACAGAACAGCGTTGCAGGATTTCAATTGCCATTGCACAGTCATTTTTGCCAGTTCAAAGTGGGTTCCTCTTTGCAGCGTTTAACATCCCCACTTTAGCAATGTTTCGTTTTATTTTCCTTACCTTTCTCTCATTTCAGCCATAGAATCTCTGAATCTCTGGTGGGTTCAAAATGGGCTTAACCTGAGGCAGGAGTCAACAGTTGAGCGAAGCCCTTTTTCCCATACCCGCATCGTCAAGACTGTGTGCGTAATCTTTGGATTTGATGTTTCCATGCAGGAGTGTAGCAGTTGAAGATTTAGTTGAAAGGGGGCATGTATGTAACCGCGTCCTTTTTATTAATGAAGAGCAACCCACCAACAAATTTGGCAACTGACAACACATCACAGCCTATATGTCTCCCTGAACTCACAACCTCATTAATTAGTATCTTATATAGATATCGTTGCAGCCATTATAACAAGCCATCATCCACCAATTCACCACGTTCTTACAACCGTCTTCATGGTAACGTAGTTGCACAACTTGGGTAATTTCGAAGGAAGTTGAAACTGCTATGACTCAGAAAATGTCTTTTTCACATATACTCGTAGAGGTCATTTTTTATTTTTGCCCATTAAAATAACATACAATATGCCCTTGAAACTGATCGTCAGTTGCCAAAAGAGGAGAAGTAGCATAGCTTTTCTGATCATATAACATACTGTTGTAAGAATAATTGTCTAGGGTTTTTCATTGTGAATAGGCGGTTTCCGATGGGGCTGTGCATAATCCATGACGTCAACGTCCCCTAGGTTATCCTTTTCCTTGGAATCGACAGCTTCCTCGGTTTCACCAGCTGAATTTCCCAGCATGGACCTTGTTGCTCTCTTGAATCCCTACACAAACAACAAATAACCTTTAGCTACATACGTTCATTCTTATTAAAGAGAAACTTCATATTTGATAGCTGAAAACTCAAAAATTAAATTAAATATGTAACATATTTATGTACTGAAATTTATCAAAAATGCATTTTAATCTTAACACATGTATGATGTGTAAAACTTGTTGAACTTAAAAAACATAAACTTGCATATATTGGAAGAGATCTAGGATTGGTTTGGATTGCTTAAGTCCAAGAAATTTTGCTACCATGTTGGAAAACAATGAGTTTTGGCCCGAGGTGGAAGTAAATGAAGTTGTTTAAATTCTAAACAGGTAGCTAGCTAGGATATGCCGTCCATCTCTCAATATCGTCTCTCACGTGTATTTGCATGTCAAGATGCCCAAAAGACCAAACAACACTGAGTTTTGTTTTTGGTTTTTCCTCTCAATATATATTTTTTATTTCTTTTTCATACTAGAGTAAAGAACTTTTACTCTCCAGTGCATGCAACACACTCATGCATGCACGTGAAGACCATCTGCCTTGTATCCTGACATGTTGAAGAAGATGGGCCATTAGTAGTCTTCTCTACCACAACCAAGACATATGATACATCTGTCTAACAACCTGAAACACATGCAAAATCTAGATTCTGAAGATATCTAATTTTACCTGTACTTTTTCCTTGCTTTCCAAATCTTCAACCCGATAAGAAATTATCGTGATACTATTCATTTCATGTCCTGCATGCCCATATCAGCAAAATTGCCAGGCCATCAATGATGAAACAAGGTGTAAGTAAGACTAATTAAAGCTGGAATAATGAAACAAAGTGAAAGGTCCCTTATACTTTCTACGACTAATTAATTAAGAGCACATAAAATCGTTTGTGACTAATCAACAGGTTAGGGTTTTATCATTATGCAACTATAGAAATTTTTTTTTTCATTTAAGAACTTATGTCACGGCTAAAATTTGGGCGAACCACTGCGAGTTGGAGAAAGTGATTAAGAATATTAAATAGTGCTGCGAAGCCTGAATATGTACGGTGCAAGTTTAGTTGAAATGATGATAGTTTTTCTTTCATGTGAGTACCTTAAGTCATATAATTTCTTGTTGAACATAGACATTTAAATCCAAAAAAAAAAAATACAAAAGACTTAGTTTGAAATTTGATATAACCTGAAATTACTTTAGCAATGGCTTCTTTAGCCCCAAGAAAATAGTTAAAAAGTGTTTGCTTCATAGTATTTGCACCAATCCTACTCTCTCGGGTTCTTCTTCCATGAACCCCAACTTCTCCTAGTTCTTGTATTTGTAGTTCCATTGAGATTGAAGGCCTCACCTCTTTCAGCTGATTGACACCCTGCGTATACATTTATTTATGTACAACTTAGAAATTAGACCGAGATTTTAACATATAGACTATAACTTGTCACCCTATAACCTTTTGTGCACTAACCATGGCAAGAAAATGGACTTTATTGCCAATCTCTTCAGCAACAAAACCCAGACGACGAGCATTGCATGCATGCATAGAAAGATAGAAGAGAAAGAAGATAGCAAGAGAAGACATGATGCTGAAAGAGCTTAGTTCCGAGAGGTTTATTAGCTTGGATATCAGAGAAAAAGTATAGATGGTCTGGCCGGGTTGCTAGCTCAGTGTTAGGCGTCCAAAGTATTTGTACTGATGGAAGAATCAAAGGGCATTAAATGCGATTTTTGTACTGAAATGAAATACGTTCTTCAAGAGAACATGCAGGTGTTCGGATGATGAATCCTGAAAACGAAATTGAAGATATTAGGGGGCCTCCCTTTGTCTCTTACCCTTCAGTTTTTAATCAAACTTGAAAGAAGAAAGAATTATAGAGTACGCATGGTCTCGGAGATATTAACAAGGGAGATTTCATTGAAATACTATAATTTACAAATTATTGATTAAATATAAAACTTATTTTAATGGTAATTGAGACAGAAATGCAAGCCACTGTGATTCATGTTGGAACTGAAAACATTGATAGTTTTGTTACATGTTAACTATTAAGAGAACAAAAAAGGAAAATTAAATATGATATATTCACAAGAGAAGAGGAATGGAAAAAGAAATATTGTGGACAGACATTCATTATTCATAAGATATGGAATCAGGATAAAGAAGCAAAATAATAAAGCAGCAAAGTAAATCAAGGTCCTACCCATGTGTTTCTGCTGAGGAAGTCCACTCCTTGCCCCCCTCATTTGTATGGTAGAATTATTACCGCATGGCCTGTGATTATTTGTTTTTCTTTGACCATATCGTTTTCATGTATAGTTTCCTTCTCCGTAGGTGTCGAGGAAGTTAATGAAGAATTCCATGTTTAAAGAAGCTATATACCACTTTGGATCACTAATCGAAAAATAATGTAAAGTACTTGTTTCGATGGACCACCCAAATCTACTTAAATTACTAAGTCAAACGAAGTTAGAAACTAGCTCTTTATTACTTTTTTCTTTCTCTGGGTCGTACTCAAATCATGAGAGGAAAATATTGAATTTAACTAAAACCTTGAGGCATAATACTCTGTTAAGCAGTAGCATGTCTGCGTTTGCCTATGAACAGGAAACAACTTTGTCTCGCTGTGGTTGGGTTTCCTCCCTTTGTTTAGGATGATTAGGACCATAACCATTCATCTTGATGACCAGCCTTAAATTAGCTAGCTGCGTGGTGTTACAACCAAATGGATGGCAATCATGGGAAATGTTAAATCAAACATGCTAAATTAAACTTTTCATTTCATTTTGACCAAGCTTCTTAGAGTACTGCTTGAATTAGCAATCTTCATTCATTCTTATGTACCAAAAGACAAAAACTTTCATAAATTTTAGTACAGGATTAAGGTACAAGGAGTAATTAATTTATATATAGAATAGCAAAATATCTTAAATCAAGCTTGGGAAAAAGTTTCTGGAGCAACTTTTGCCCATGAAGGTATTATAGCAATTACCAAGCACCATTTTTATACATCACAAGTAATCTATTAACCCAATATATACGTAATGTATCTGTATAAGTACCTGTAGATACGATACATTGAACCTTAAAGCTATCCGAGTATCGTTAAGATCAAGGATGCTTCAGATTTGGTGTTCTTTACCCGTAAGGCCATATATGTTAAGTATTCAAACAATTACGTTAGGCTAACGGAGCTAAACTCTTTTAGCTTGAAGACTATACCATTTTCCGACTGGCTGGTTTCGACGTATATCTAATCATGAAAAAAAGCACCCACCGGCAAAGTGCAAGGAGGTAAATTATCGGGTCATAATTGAATAAAGAAGAGAAAAGGGCATCTTAAAAGGCAAGAAAATAGTAAATGAAACCACTTAAAGAAGAGGTTTAACACCAGTGGATTTGGGTGAAGGAACTGTGAATAAGGCCTATTATGTACATTGCAGGTGGAAATCATGGAGAATTCTAGCATTTATCACTAAAGAGAAAGGGGGGTGCAGTGCGAGTGCTACATGGAACACATGGGACCGACAGCGGAATCGAGGGGGGTATGAGCCAAGTAGTTTCAAGACAAAGCTGCATGGCCAAACCGCCTCTTGCATCTCCTCTTGAGGGGACAGGGAGGGTCGTCTTCCCCCTACTAACCCCGGTAATAGACCATGCATGCCACGTGGCATTCAGTCCATGTGCCATTCACATATCGTATGCTGCCACGTCAGTCGCGGGGCCTCCATTGGGCACCTTGGCTCGCTGCACGGAGCGAGAAACATGGTCCTGAACCACTGACAGCGATGTGGGCACATCCAATAGACTTTTGGCATAAATCGGGGTCTCCCGACGTGGCCTTAAGCTAGAAATCAGGTGGTCCTTGGCAGGAGGGCGAGAGTTTGGTTTGGCATAGAAACCAGAGATTGAAGATTTTATCACGAAAAATCAATTTAGACCATGATTACAAAAACAAATAAACATGGCTCGGGTTCCTATGGATCACTTTATATAATATTCATAAGATAAAAGTTTGATCTACTACTTAGGCAATCCATATCTTTAAATGATCAGATTTCAATGTTTGTAAGTGCTTAAAAAGTAAACATTAGACTACTTCATACATAGATAGACATGATTTTCGGTTCAACTCCGAAGGGCTTTTTTGGGCGTAATCGTAAGTTCATTGAATCTCTATAGTTCCCCTTCTTGCTCTAAAAATGAAGAAGTAGACTTGCGATTCACCTTTTTGCTCAATTATTGAGGAGGAAGAAAGGATATTACACGCAAATGTTCCAGCTCCTCAGTGCAATGTGAACCCTATGTTCTTCCTGGCTTTCGACCGGTGGCTTTGGTGAAGACAGGTCCTAAGTCATATATCAAATTCTGTGAATTAGTGTTAGATGTTAACATGTGAAAAATATGGATTTTCCATAACATTGCTACACTAGTATTTATTGTACTTTTCATAATCACTTGCACTTTGTTATACAGATATAAGCATTCGAACATTTAGTTCATTTATTAGTACATAATTTTATTTTTTGAAAAAAAGATAAGATTCGAACCCTTTTCAAAATTCCAAAAAAAATTCATTAAATGATATATATAAATGACTAATCTTATTCATAATCTAAACAAATTAATAGTATTGTATGATAACTCTAATAACTTGTATAATTATCTTAAGAGCAAAGATAAGTGGTTCAACAATTCAGTTTGAGAATTTTAATGGATCCTTAACAGGCTTGCTTTAAGCTGAGAAAAGTAAAACAGGATTGTTTTAAGATAACAAAAGCTCATTCTGATAAGGTTCAAGCAAGTTTAATTCACCGAAGGACGACTCAAAGACTTTCTGCTTCTGTTTCCATTTCCGGTGACGAGACTTCTAATTTTCATTTCTTCTCGTCACTACAACTTCTCATTTTCTTTATTTCTCTTGAGAGGGGAAGAATCATATCCCCTCAGATGAGAAAAGACTCAGATGGGCTTGGCTAAAGAGGGCCAGAATAGAAGAGACTCACACAGTTCAACATCCAATTTGGGAGCCCACGTTAACAGCAAAACCAGTAGCAAGTTATGTGGCCTAAGAAATCCTAGAACAAGCCCCCAATGATGCTGAAGCACAACGCCCAATGACGACGATGACAACTGTTTCCCCAGCCCAGATAAGAGTCTTTAAGATAGCAAAGTATAGCCCAAGGATGTGGGTGGGAGACGATAATGGACTAGATAGCAGATTGAGAGCCCTTCAACTGGTGTAAAGCCCAGTCGATTATAGTGCAAAAAGATCCAAAAAGAAAAACAGAACACAGCCCAAACCTCCATATAGAGCGGGCTCAAAACAAAAATTGCTTGAAATTCAATGCTAATGCCAGCACCAACTGTGCAACCAAGAGAAAGATTTCAAGTGATAAATGATGGAAAGGAACTTTTAACTTCGTGCGGAAATCATAAATATTTATGTACAATATGCAACTGTACATATCACCAGCAGTTCTTAAAATAATAGCAACAACCAAATTACCAGTATAAGGCAATGTATATGGTGATGCTAGAGATAATATAGGGGAATGCTGAAACGAGGAAAAGATAAAAGCAACGTCCAAATTAATCTACCAATGGCTACTGAGACATCAGATGCCCAAATGTGTTTTCCCCACTGTAAGTAACATAAAGAAATCCATCTTCATCCTTCTTCTCCTCATATATGGCAGACATAATGGCACCTAGAAAACCAGGAAAGGGTGAGCCCTTTTATAAATCAAGTAGCAAAAAGGTTAAGCATCAAGCACCGAAGGATATAATTTCCAAGGCATTACCAGTTGGCGGGAGGACATTGTCCACAAATATAAAGATCGCCTTTTCTGCACTCAGTTTGATCCTTTTACGGATGACATACACAAATTGTCCAACAGTCAAGTCAGCTGGGACAAGGTACCTGTAAATTTCATAATCATATTACAAGATTATATAACCAATTACTATGACCTCGCTATGATTTAGTCCAAGACAGAGCATTAAAGAATGAAATGAAGATTGCAGATGGAAAATATCATTACATCGAAATAAATAAGCAATTGAATGATTCCATATGTCCAATGAAACCAATTGGTATAAAAATACTGGGAATAGCTTCCACATTAACATGTGAATGATGGTAACAAAATGGAAATATAGGATCATTGCATTCTTAACATAATGAAACCTGTCTTCCACCATGAAAACTTACCCCTTAACCTTTATATTACTTTTCTTTTCTAGCTAGGGATGTCTATCATCACAACCATTGTGCCAAGTGAAGATGCAATATGACATATATAATTCAAACACACTAAAACTAGATGCTTTTTTAACAGAATAAGGCAATGAATCAGGAGAATCCAGAGCCAACAATAAGATAAAGGTGATCCTTACTTTTTCTTGTCTATGTTTGGTATATCACTTCTCTCTGCCCTCTCCACGATCACCTTAAACATAAAGCAGGATAAATTGGATACGAAACAAGATTAGAAACACAAGCAAAGTATATGATTATAACTTTTAATCACCAACGAATACACAAGCCTACAGCAAAAGTAGCACAGATTAGATCACAACTGGCAACAGATTGATCAAGATTGAAGGTAAAGTTCAATCATTACCGGGATTCTATCAGGATATTTCTCCCTAATCCTCGCAGCCTCGGCCCTCCTCTTCTCTGAAGCCAGAACCAAACAAAACATTCATACACTTGGAAAATATAAATAATTGATTTCTCCCATACACCATAAACACATTGATTTACCATACATAATAACATTGACTTTAAAGGAAAAACGATGTTCCTAAAACCAAATTAACAACAAAATAAAGGATGCCATGCCAGTACATACCAAGATCATGCTCTTGCTTGAAGTAACTCTTTGCCATTCCTCCTGAATATACCAACAAAAATTAAGTCAAAAGACTTGCTTTTCAAACAAAATTCCTTCTTTAATTCTTGATGAATTTTCCACTGTCTTAAAAAGCCATGATGGTGCAAAACAAACATATTATTATGGTCAGCAACTCATGCACACAACAATTCCAATCAAAGATACAGAAACAAAATAAAGTCCAAAAACAAACACAATCAATCCAAAACCACCCAAATCTTATCCTTGATCACAGAGTTGATACCTTTGCACAAATCTTCGAAGAAGAAAAAATCATAACAAAAGCCATAAATTTCAATTTAATCTAACCTTGTCAATCATCCACCAAAAGAAAAGGCAGAACCAGAAAAAAATTATATACGAGGGTAATAAATATAAAAGGAAACCCCAGAAGGCAAACCTTGTGAAGATGAACCCAAAAAGAAAGCTTTTTTTCTTGATCAACGAAACTCTCCGAAGCTTGAAGCTCGTGGCTTGCTTCGAAAGACAAAAACAAATAATATATCCTTGCTCCTTTTTTCAACTCACCCTTCTACTCTCTTCGGCCGATTTATTTTTCTTGTTTAATTAATGGCAGTTGAAAGTTTTGCAAACACCTTTTGGATCCCCTATGGTGCGATTACTCATAGGTATGATTACACGTGGAGTGAATTCATTGGTTTTATAACTGTTTAACTAACCTTAGACTCCTACTTGGTTACGGCAAAACGACAGATCATTTGGCCCCTTTAGGTTTAACGGCGAAAAGGTATGTGCATCGGACGGCCAAAAGTAGGATGACAATGGAAGGTGGACGGAGAGGTGGATCTTATGGAAGTTCCACAGTGGATAGCAAGGACATACCCGGATCTCTCGCTCAATCTGCTTTGTAATTGGACGCTACTTGGGTCGGTTTTTTACTTTGACTGTCTTCGACCCCAAGAAACTTGGTTTAGCCAGATAATCAACAAGGGTCAAGCCCCACTTTCGAAAATTGATATGGTCCTCGGCTTTTTCCTGAAGAAGAAAAACAAATAAAAAAAGAATTAGTCATAAACAGTGTGATCATGATCAATGAATATTGTAGTGATGTAATTAACTAAAATTTACAAAATAAATCCTTAAATTCAAAATCTTCATGGGTTAACAAGGCAGTTAGCTAGCCTAGGTTACAATTTGGTTCAAATCAAAACTAATTTATCAAAAGCCGAATTATTAGAATTAATATTTTCCTTAATCAATCATTGAACTGAAAATTTATGTAATGAATCTCAATCCACCAAAATGTTTACTTCAGATAATTTGGTTTATTTACGAATTTAACCAAATTATGAAAAAAAAAATCTCATATCTCTTAATTTATTGTATTATAATTATTAAAATAAAAATTATATAAATATTCATGAATTTATTTAGAAATAAAAATTGTTTATAAAAATCAAAATTTTAATCTAACATCAAACTCCAACATTCATGAACCATATAATGAAAATCCCAATAACTAGATGCAAGCATAACGGCATCCAACATAGATTTAAACACGAAAATAAATAAAAATTATATTAAAAATAAATCAATAACTCTAACAAACATAACAAAGAAAATTATATTGATGACCAACTAAAATGATTTTGAGGGCTGATTAATATACTGAATTATTTCGACTTGATCGATTAATTCACTCTGCATATTCCAAACCTCAGCTAGCTGTCTTGTCTCCTTCCATTTCCAACTTTAAATAATAAATTTTGTAGGCCAGACGCTCCTCATCCACATCCACCGTTCTTTTGCTTTTCCCAACTTTTTTCATTTTTATGCTATTTTCCTCGCATCATTGATGGAGGTTTTTTTCACTTGATCATGGCCACGACATGTGCCCAGATTGCCATAATTTCTCAACTCCTTTCTTCCTTAAGAGGCAGACCAGATTGCCATACTTTAGCCCAAATAGGCCACTCCATCCTTTTATAGGCTTTTAAGCCCAACTGTCCGGCCTAATCCCACCCAACCTAGGCTACCTGTGACCCAGTGAAGAACTCTTAGGGCCTGGGGTAGTAAAATTTTTTTAGTTAAACCCAAAATCCAATACTGATATATATTAAAATTAGGAAAAGTATTTAAAATTTTTCGTTGTGTCAAATATTCAAATATAAAAGCATGAAGAATTGGGTTTACTAGTAATATGAAATGAACATTATTCCATTTTCTTTCACTTCTCAAAATTGAAAAAGAAAAAAAAAAGACTACTATGTTTCTCTTTTCTGAAACATTTAACCTCTATTTTATGGTTTCAAATTTATTATGATATCCTATCAACCAATATGCCTTCATCTGATATGTCCAAATCTTCTATTCATGCAAATTGCTAGCAAAAGATTTAGGTAAGTGACTGCATGCCATGTGTTCATGTCTACTACTACTACTTGTCTAATCCATCTTGATCCCCATGTGTATTGTCTACCTTCGCCATTTTCCAAAAGTGTCCAACAGCAAGAAAATGAAAACAGAGAACCGATCAGAAACCATTAAAGTTATGAACATAGAAAATTTTCCAGCTCAAGTCTAATTGAGACTTGAAGGATCATCTTCAGTGTTCATTCTACTTGACCAAATCTAATCATGTTTCAGAACCTTTTTTTGTTGTTAGAGAAGCATACAACAAGAAAAGGTTAATCTTCATTTTGGAGGGAACACATGGTCTTTGCTCTTCTTTTAATAGTATGCAGCCACCACTTAGCAAGGGAAAGAAGAATGAAGAAGGCATGGGCAAACGCAAATTTAGAAGATCAAACCAAGAAGCAAAAACCCCAGCCAAAAAGCAAAGCTTGTCTCCTCCTTTGGTTCCCACTTTATTTAAGAATTTATTAACCCCTAATGACTTGTATTTTCATGCTTTTTTTTTTTCCCTTGTGGCCACCCCCGACAGACACCCAAGTCATCATGTCCTATTTTATCTATTAAAGCCATCAAATACTTTTTAGTCATACGCAATAATTGGTTAATTAATTAGGTTTTTCTGATGATGGCCCAAATGTAGTCATTGTTAGCTTTATATATAGTCATAGTAATTTAAATAATGGATTCAGATTCATTTGCAATGAAAAATGATTAATTTATATTACTTATGTTCTAAGTAACACCCAAAATGTTCGCCAATCAAGTTGATAAAAAAGTACATTACTCACCACAGGTTTATCCTATATATAAATGGATTAGAGGCATATGTTAAAATCCAAAACTTACTCAAGTAAATTGGTAAACATGGCATTCTTTTGTCTCTTTGGATCCATATTTTTCATGTAAAGTTTCCCTGTGCAGGAGGATTGACGTACTGAGGATATGTTTATATCCTTGCTCAAGCAAAATGGTAGAGTTGAATGGGAACTTTATTTGGGTGGAAGAAGATTGAGGAAGGCATGCCTTATTTGGTTTAAAGTGACTATGATATATCATTATCATAATGGTTAAAAGCTGACCAAAGTTGCATGAATTACTATAAACAAAAAGTCCACAGCTTTACAGTTTGAAAGGTCATTAAAGATGGGCTACATTGATTAGGCATTCCAATGGAAAATCCAAAATAAGACATATATTATATTGAAAAGATCTCCAAAGTGAAGTGATCTATGTTGTCTACTCATTTATTGATGTGAAAACTCTATACCCGCAATCTGCTTAAGCAAAAGCTGCTTGGTTGTGGTCCGGTTCTTATGCTGATTGAATCTATTTGTTCAAACTCTAGAGAACAGCCTTTGATTATATATATAGCAGGTTTAATACTTTTTGTAAACGGGATTCATATATTCAGTCTTTGGTAGATTCATAACTTCAACAAGATTTTCTTTATATTTAGGAGAGGAGAATCTTGTACTATCTAACCAAAAGTCCTTTTTTTCTCCCTGATCTTTACAAGATCGAATTTGTTTGGGCTTCTACTTATAATTGTGTTAAAGCTGCAAAGGAAATTGGGGATGGGCTAATCCCTGCAACTTAAAAGGTGACAAAGATGCTTATGGGACGAAGGAAAAGGCCTAAGGAAGTGGAATGTTTTATTATTTTTACCCTATTTTATTTCTCTAATTTATGAAATTGAAGAATTAAGATCAAATGAAGGGTGCAAAAACAGTTAAAAAGAATAAAAGAATGGTTGATATCTTTTTACATATAAGACAAGATATTCGTGTATGGATTGTGAAAGCTTTAACAATTTATTGTCATGTTCCCAAAGACCTATCGAAATCAAACCAAGACAGACAGTCAGTTACCTACGGAAGCCTCTTAAATGGCGCCTTCCTAGGTAAATTTTTTTTCAGAATTAATACAACATGTTGAATTCCTGTAACAAGAACTGAATGTGGAGCGGCAACTAGTTCTAAGCCTATAAAACAAATATTAATGCTAGGGTCAATGCCTACAACAAGGTTTACATTGTCCCTGTCCCCGTGCATGCATCTTGTCCTTCCGGAATGTATATGGTCTTTAAGCTTTCTGCTGTATGAATCGGTGTCAAGAAATTCTTTGTATGCATGTGCACACGTGTAAAATCATGTTAGGTTTTGACGAGTTCTGAACGCTAATCTCTCTGTTTTTCAATCATTTTTGTATTATGTCAATTTTTTTTGAATGTCTTGGGAAGAAATTTGTCCTTCTTACATGGCCATGTTTCATGCAGTTCAAAAGCTGTCAACCTTGCTCTCAAAATGGGGCAACCCCGCACTAGCCAAGCAGAAGACGCAATCTTTGATATATCGTGCATATTTCATGTATTTTCACCTTGTTCTTGTTTCTTTCATTTTCATGATTCTTCTGGAGAGTTCACGTTTGTGTGGTCGCTTTTCTAAAAGACAGCAAAGAGAGGAAAAAATAAATAAACTGGCCTAGCAAACAGCGGCTCTCGTTTCTCATTACCCAAAATTTTGCTATCCTTTTCGTTCCTAAATCGTAATGGAAAGATGAAAGTTCAAATCTTCTCTGGGGACTCAAATTTAAAGATATTGTAAATATAAATTACAGATGGGGCAGTGTGGGACTGGATCCTGCAATTTCTGGCCTTAATAAGAGGGAAGAGATTGGTAAAACCTTGTCACCACTATCCTAAAAACAAATGAGAAAAAAACCAATAAAAATTAGAAAGAAAAGGGAAGAAAATGCAGTAGTAGTGGGGCAAAGAGGATTAGAGTAGTGTCACTTTCCACTCCATAAAATGGAAGGAGGCTTTGCTTAGGCATCACATGGGCCTGGAGATAAAATAAAACCTGCATCGTCCTGACAAGTCCAAATCATGGTTTTCCTAAACAATCCAAAGAGGCATGTCCCCTCTCCTCCCCCTCTTTCCTCTCCACACAATTGCCCCAAATCTTCTTTTGTTTAAATGCATATATATCTCTCTCTCTCTATATATATAAGATTATATTAGACAAGGGAACCCCTCTTTTAGGGCTATGCCTCCAACAAGCCCTTTGAGAGGTTTCCTATTATCGTTTTCTTTTTCCCCTCGACAGAGATGCAGGGGAAAAGAACACATAAATCCATTCTAGACAAGACCAGTCAAACTAGGGTTGTTTTATTGTTATCAATTTTATGCTAAAGTTTCGATTTTATTTTTTTTTTTGGGAAAGAAGGTTGAAACTATATGTATACAAAGGTTTTTGCAATAGATATTTTCATTTATGGCTGGCAAAGCAAATTTTAGAACAGAAAAGCAGAATTGAGATAATCAGATTGGCTTGACTTTGAAAATTGAAGTGTTTGATAAGGTGCGGGCCCTGCAATGCTGCAACCTTACCTATCTGGTATAACATAAGTTGGAAAATAATCGCAAAAGAAAAGGGAAGAAACCTGGATCCTAGGTAGACAACCTGTCTGCTCAACAGCAATCCCTGATTGACAATTTGACTGATAACAGTTCATCATAATGCACATTAGGCAATAAGATAGAGCAACGAGTTTCACATTAAGTACATGTAACTGATCCCCAGACTAACTGA